GCCATGTAAACAGTGGCTGCCTTGGGTGGGGCACTGGGACTCTCAGGGTGGGAGGAGGGCTTTTATCATAGGGCGTTTTGTACTGTCTGATCATTTTACCATGACACACTTTATTTTTCAATTAACGTGTGGGGAACAAGGGAGCTGGGCTCTCCATTCTCTGTCTCCTCTTTTGTTTCTGGCCAGCCTGACCTTCCGCCTATGCACCCCAGAATACCTCCAGGGTCATTTACTCCTTTCTGCCTGTCACAGCCTGTAGGATCCCACCCACCTTGCATGTGAGGAGGAATGTGTGGCTCCTTCCTTGTCTCGCCACTAGGGGACAGCCCAGACCCAGACATGCCTTGGGTCAGCTGGGGAGCCCGGAGAGCAGGCAGGTCATTGAGAATCTGGGATCTGAGGGGAGCTCCAAGGGCCCTTCCACCCAGGGCTCCTAGGGGCAGAAAGAGGTGCAGTCCTACTCAGGCCCCCAGTGAAGGACAGGATGGAGAGTGGGGTCCTGCAAATGCTGATGGACTTGTCTCCTATCTCTATAACACCAAGCCACCCTCTCCCACACTTGTTCCAGTACCTCAAGGTGGGGCACTCCCTGGATGGGAGCACAGACTCACTCAGCAGAGGTCTGGGGTGCAGGGATTCCATAAGAAAGGGATCAGGATACCTGGCATGTCCCTTAAACACAGGAGCCATGGATCTATCCTGCTCCCTGCCCGTACCCCAGGGCTCCTGGGATTCCCACCCCACACCTGCCCCCCTCCATGGCTCAGTTCCTGCTCAGTCCATCCTTAGGTGCTGCGCTGGAGGTGGCCTAAGGCCACTAGATCCCGCAAGTTCTGCTTAGCCAATGACCTGCCAGTCCGGGTCTTTTCCGCTGGGCAAGGGAGGAATTTCTCCCTGTGGAAGCCCTAGGTCTCCCATGCCCTACCCCATTTTACTGATATAGATCATAAAGTTTACTGATTTAAATACTCAATTGAGGGGCACCTGGGTGGCTCAGTTGGTTAAGCAACTGCCTTCGGCTCAGGGCACGATCCCAGGGTCCTGGGATCGAGCCCCACATTGGGCTCCTTGCTCAGCAGGGAGTCTGCTTCTCCCTCTGTCTGCAGCTCCCCCTGCTTATGCCCTCTTTTTGTCAAATAAATAATCTTAAAAAAATAAATGTTCAATTCAGTGTTCAATTTTTTTTTAGCAAATTCAGAGTTGTGCAACTGTCACTATAATCTAATTTTACATTTTCATCATTCCCCAAAAGAAACCCGATATCTATTAGCAGTCACTGCTGCCATTTTAATCCAGCCCCAGCCCCATCCAGCAGCCAGTCCTAAGTAACTGTCCATCTACTATCTGTCTCTACGGATCTGCCCATTCTAGACATTTCACATAAATGGAATCACACATTATGTGGTCTTTCATCTGTCTTCTTAGCATAATGCTTTTGAGGCTCATCCATGTTGTAGCATGTATCGGTACTAGATTCCTCTTCACCGTATACTAATACCTATCATATGTATTGACGGGCCACTGTTTGCTCATCCAGTCACCAGCTAATGGACATCTGGGTTGCTTCCATTTTGGGGCAATGACCAATACCACTATGCACACCTGTGTACAAGTTTGTATGCATTTTTCCCCCATTTTTCTTGGGTAGATATGCAGAAGTTGACTTGCTGACTCATGTTAATTCTATGTTCAACATTTTGAAGACCTGCCAGACTGCTTTCTGAAGGAGCTACACCATTTTCCATCCCCCTCCCCCTTGCAGTTCCAATTCCTCCACATCCTTGTCCACACTTGTAACTGTCCCTTTATTACTGCCTTTCATGGTGGGTTTGATGTGGCAGATCCTCCTGTAGATTTAATTTGTATTTCCCTAATGATGCTAAGCATCTTTTCATGGGCTTATTGCTCATTTGTGTTGTTTTTTTCCTAAAAATGCCTACTTAAATCCTTTCATTTTTTAAATTAAAAAAATATTTTTTAACTTTTTTAATATTTTTTTTTAAAGATTTTTATTTATTAGAGAGAGAGCGTACAAGCCAGGGCTGGGGGCAGAGGGAGAAGTAGATTCCCCACTGAGCAAGGAGCCCGATGCCGGGCTTGATCCCAGGACCCTGAGATCGTGACCTGAGCTGAAGGCAGCCACTTAACCAACTGAGGCACTCAGGCACCCCTTAAGATATTAAAGGAATCTCTATACCCAACATGGGGCTCAAACTCACTGCCCCGAGACCAAAAGTCGCACTCTACTGAGCCAGGCACCCCTAATTTTACCTTTTAAATTAAGGTATTTATATGACTGAATTGTAAAGTTCTTTATATATTCTAGATATATGTCCCTTATTAGATATGATTTGCAGTTTCTTCCAGTGTGAGGGTTGCTTGGATTCTGTCCTTTAAAGTACAAAGCCTTGTAAGACTAAGGCCCTTATCTTTGTTTTTAGATTTATTTTATTTTAGAGAGCGAGCGAGCCTGTGCGTATGTGGCAGGGGGAGGGGCAGAGGGAGAGGAAGAGAGAAGCCGACTTTGTGTTGAGCACAGAGCCCAATGCAGGGGCTTGATCTCATGACCCTGAGGTCATGACCTGAGCTGAAATCAAGAATTGGATGCTCAACTGACTGAGCCACCCAGGCAGCCCTAATCTTTTTTTTTTTTTTTAAGATTTATTTATTTAAGAGAGAGAGGGAGAGGTGGGGGTGGGGCAGAGGGAGAGGGAGAGAAACTCAAGGAGAGACTGCGCTGAGTGCCGTGCCTGAGATCGGGACCTGAACTGAAAACAACAGTTGGACGCTTAACCCACTGTGCCACCCAGGCGCCCCTCTTTAATCTTTTTATCGCTTTGCTTTTGGTGTTGTATCTAAAAATCATCACCTAACCCAAGCTCGTGAAGACATTCTCCTATAATTTCCCCTAGGAATTTTAGTTTTTAACTTTTACATTTAGGTCCACGACCCACTTTGAGTTAATTTTTATATACAGTGTGGGGGCTGCAGTCCAAATTTGTTCCTTCGCACGTGGATACCCAGTTGTATAAATACTACTTGTTGAAGACTGTTCTTTCCATGCTGGATTGTCTTGGCCCCTTTGTGGAAGCTCAATCTTCCACAAAGTAAATCTATTTACTTCTGGACCCTCAATTCAATTCTATTCCACTGAGTCCAAATATCTATTCCTTATTAAGCCTCCCTTTTGAGTCAGTAACAGAGCAGAGGCTAAAAGAGCTCCTCCACCTGAAGTCCCATCCTGGACTGCTAATGCGTGGAGCCAGGTGGGGGTGCCGCACTCAAGGACCTGTTCCAGGGCAGGTGGCCTGCCGGGGAGGAGAGGGCTCAAGGATAAGGAACGTGAAACAGGGTGTTCCTGCCCCCCTCACCCCTCCTGGAGCAGCGGCTGTCAGCCCACCGCTCCCATTCTGTATACGTGCTGCCGAAACGAGCACCCACCGCTCCCATTCTGGCGCAGCCCCTGTCCTGGAGGCCCCAGGAGGAATGGGGAGGGAGGGCATGGAGGAAGAATGTGGGTGCCTTACATGGCAGTCAGAAGGGAGACGGCGCCCTCCCTGCCCGCCTTGCCTGCTGGCTCCTCAGCCGCCTGCCTACCTCAGCACCTCACATTCTCCTGCTGCCCTGAGGAACCCCACGCAGAGCCTCTACTTACACCAAGACCAAGGGCATCAGGGCTCAAAACATCCAGGCTCCTGAGTCCTGGAAAGCACACTTGGGAGACGAGGGAGAGGTGGGTGGGCAGATGCCCAGGCCCCCTCGTGCCCTGCCGTCTGGGTGGGTAGGGCAGGAAAGTAAGAGGAGGTGGGGTCCCCAGGTCCCCTCCCCACCGGAGACAGTATCTGAGAAGCTGCTGGGCTCGAGGGAGGGGAAGGCACCCAGGAAGCTTGAGAGGTGAGAATTTCACAAACTGCCGGCCTGCAGCTGTGGCCTCTGATCACAGGAAAGCAGACGTGCTGGAGGAGGGGCAGGGGCCCGCAAATAGGGGCTGTGGGCACAAGGATAGGTAGCCTCCCTGGTAGGGTCAAACACACTTTATTCAGCACAGGAATGTGTGAACACAAGGGCCTTGGGCAGGGTTCCTGACAAAGAGCTCTGCTTCAAACCCTGCTGTACCCAGAGCAAAGTCATCATGTAAACCACCGGGCCCAGGGGGCGGGGCTCAGCACAGGGTCACACTGGCCAGCACACGGGGAAGCTGGGGGTGGGTGGCCCATGCCCAGTAGAGTCGTGAGCAGCTTTAAGTAACTCACTTAGAAAAGCCAGGGTGGGAGGAGGGCAGGGGCCTGGCCCATTCAGGGGATTATCTCCACCACTGGGGGCCCCAGGGTTCAATTTAGCTGAAGCAGCCAGGGCTGCTGTGTCAACACATGATTCAAAGGCCCTAAAAGCCATAGCCCTGGGGGTGACAGGAGAGGTGGCCCGGGGAGGGGGGGGTGCAGCTCTCACAACCAGCACACTGCAGCCCTGGCCGTTGCCTCCAATCCATAAACTGTAAATGGCACCAGGCTTCACTGCCCAGGACCCCACTCCCTTGACTGGGGTCCCCAGTGGAAGTGGGGAGGGGCACGGGAGGGCAGAGAAGGCAGGTCTGCAGGCCGAACCACCCTGGATGACTATGGTCCTGCCCTCAAGACTCATGATTGGGGGTAGGGGAAGGTCTTGGGGTCTGTACCAGGCAAGAGCAGCAGTTTGAACCCTCTGCCCAGGGGCGCACAGCTTGGCCTGAGAAGCCTCCAACCACAGGAGGCAGCCAGGACCTCTCTGCTTGGGTCACTCCCGGCTGTGCTGTTATGCTGGGTACACACAGGGGCAGGGGGAAGGAGGGGATTCTGGGAGGGGGGTTAGGGAGGTGGTGCTGGGCACCCTGGGACCCTTGGGAGTGACAGGGAGAAGCCGCGCACAACGGCACAGCTGGGTCCAGCTGAATTCCCGATTAACAACTGTTCTGAAGACCAGAGGGGATGGGCAGAGGATAGACATGCCATCTTCCTGGACCTACCCCTGCTAACCCAAGAATGGGGTGTGTTAAAGACCACCCCTGCCCCTAACCAGTAACTAGAGTGGCAGGAAGAGGGGGCTCAAAGTCTGGGTGTGGATGGTGACGGCACTCCTTCCATGGGCTTTGGGCTCAAATGTAAAATGCACAAACTTGTTCATCACCAGGGGACACAGAAGGGGTTGTCTCTGGCTGGACGGAGGCTGGGAGGGCAAGGCCGCTGCCTAGTGGGAATGAGTGACAGCCAGAGCCCGGCTTCTCTCTACACTACACATGAAGGTGGCGGTGGCAGGGGACCCAGGGAGGGACGGATCTACCTAAATGACTCACAGGCGGCTGGGGGAGGGGTGGCGGGGATGACACAAACGCCCTGATACCCAGGGAACACAACCAACAGGCAAGAGGAGCACAGGTAACCACTGTGGAGGGAGTGGGGAGGGCAGCCTGCCGGCACACAGCCCCACGATGGGCTCACTCGTCAAACTTCCCTTCCCGAATATGCTCGAAGGAGAAGGGTAGGAACTTGAAACCGGTTCCGCTGTAGAATTTATTCTGGAACTCCACCCTGGGGAAAGGGAAAAGGAAAGTCATCATTCCACAGAATCCTTTTGGGATTTCACAGTTGGCTAGAAAGATGCTCTGACCCTCCTCCCCAAGGCCTCGCTTTCCTAGCTGAGCTTGGGAAAGCAGCTTGGCCTTCTTCCACCCACCCAGCCCAGAGCCTGGCCTAGTTCCCACAGCGCACACAAGCCCTGCTTCTGAAGGCAAGAGTGCCACATAGCTCCTCCCTGGTTTGTCCTCAGTTCCTGCTCCTTCCTGCTGAGCACGGTGTGTTTATGCAAAACTCTTTGTCTAGCCATGTGCAAAAGAAGTGCCCTTGGTTTGAGTCTCTAAGGGCAATGTAGAGATTAACCACTGGACTCCCGGCTGGGGCTCAGGGGCTTGAGGCCGAACTCTCAGGGAAGCCCCCGGGCGGCAGCGAGCTCAGCACCAGGGACTCTGGCAAGTGCCCTTGTTTTCTAGTTTGTTTCTTTTCCTTGCAGGAGGAAGGAGAAGGGAGGGTTTCGAGTAAACGCTGGAGGCTTTGGGGAGGAAATTCCCAGGAAAGGGGCGTGGGGGGGGGAGTCTTCTCCAAGTAATGGCAAAAATATTCTCCAACTACAAAAACATCTGAGAACGAATTCTTCTCTCAGGGGCTGAAAGGAAAAGCAGAGCTTCACCTCCCTTCCCAGGCAGCCCAGCATCCACCGCTGACAGTCTCCTTGGGGCCCTTTCCAACTCTGAGGGGCAGGAAGACAGCACTCCTGGAAGCAGAGCTGGACTGCAGGCTACACTTCCCCCTGCATACTCCCTGGCTGGCTGCCCAGTAACCAAACCACCACCAAATATGGGCAGAAAAATGCATGATTCAGAGGATAAAAAAGCCAAGGAGAGCTGCCCTGAGGAATGGTTTCCACTCAGCGCTGAGTGACCCTGAGGACGCCAGAAGGACAGGAGGGGCTGGGAGCTGGGGCCCGCTGCAGGCAATGGTGCTCATGCAGGGCGCGGTGGAAGGCCTGTCGGCTTCGGGGGTCCGTCTGTGGTGGCCCTCAGAGGCCCCGTCAGCCCTGGGGTGCTGGCTGAGGACACTGCAGAGCTGCCGGCTCCACCCCCTGGGGAGAAGAGGTGAACAGAATTTTCTGCGTGGGCGTAAGAACAGGCTTCTCCTCCCAGCCCCACATTCCAGGGCTTGGGCCAAGGTCCCAAAGCCTCCCAGACTCTGGAGGGGTCCCTGGGCCAAGGGAAAATAGGACCTGGGGGAAGGGGCTTCAAACTGAAGTCAGTCACAGAATTCCTGGCAAAAGCAGTTTCAACCCGGGATCTGGACTCAGCCCCATATCCCAACCCCCTGAGAAGTCCTAGAAGCTATAGCTCTTCAGGCCTCCATTGGGGGAATTAGGTGGGGATGGGGTAGGTTCCTGCCTCTCACCCACTGCTGTCTGGTCCTTCACGTTGAGTAGGCTGTTTGCATATGGCAAGGGCATTTCTGAACAACTGGAAAGAGACGGACACATCCTGTTTGCATTCCACAACATTTATCGAGATGGTGGGCAAGTCATCTTAGGGTCTGCTCGGGGTCCAGAACTCTGAGCCCCGGGGCTGGCTAATCACACAAACAATTCGAATTCCAAACTGGATGAATGGACTAGAAGCTTCAGAAGTTTTCAGATGCCCGTGGGATCACCATCCTTCTCTTGGCATTCCTCTGCGTGCCTCATCTACCTAGGGGGCCCAGTGGGAAGGAAGGGCTACACGTGTCTGGGATGCAGGTGCATAAATTCTGCCAAGTGAGCCCACGGGCAGTCCCTCTGACACATGGCCTGACACCACCTCTACCACCAGCCACTGCCTGTGGTTAGACTTAGGGTGGCCACCACCACGGACACCTCAGGCATCTCAGGGTCAGCCTGACTTCACGCCCCTTCTCGGCCTCACTTACCCCAACCTCCCGGAACAAAGCTGGAAAGCAATCTCCCTATCAGACTCCCCACCCACCCCTTCCTCCCAACCAGGGAAATGTGTACTTCCTGAGAAAGTACAAACATGAAGTTCTTTGTGCCAGGGCCCTGCTCGCTGCCCAGTAAGTTCCTCTTATTTTAGGAGCCTGCTACACCACCCAGGGAGCCTCCAGGGCCCCACCATGCCCCAAGCCACCTCTAGAATTCCACAGTTGTGAGGAGGGCCTCAGGAAATCGGATGGGTTTCTCGGACACCCCTTCTCTTCCAGCTGCAGTACTGACAAAGGCCACCCAGTGACCCCGAAGGATAAGTGGGAGTCCCCGGAGCACTCACCACTGCTACGTAATAGGAAACCTTGTTTCCTTGAGTGAGGGAAGGGGAAAGGAGTCCTGGGTCTCCTTCCTTTCCTGGCGGGAGTGTGAGTGAAAAGAGGCAGTTTTAGGAAGATGATCCTAGACCGAGCTGCTTCCCTGGCCCTTTCTGCCGCTCTCTGAGCAGTCCAGGGCCTGGAACACATATCTGTCTGATGGCCCACATGTCAGGGCAATGATGGCAGCCAGGAACTACACTTCAGGTGTGCTTTCTTCCGGGCCAGCCGTTCCCGCAACCGTCCCGTGGTGTCCTGCTGTGGCACCACTCCATTCCTTATGACAATTTGGTCCCCCCTTCCTTTGGCCTTCAACCAAAGGAGTTGGAGTTTGTGAGTGTGCAAGCGTGCACATCGACACGTCTGTGGAATCTGCTCAGTAAGAAGGGATCTGGTTCCTGAAAGTGGGCCAGGGGGCAACAGTCTTTCTACTAAAAAGTCAGTTTGGTGTCCACAAACTGACAAATCCTATCCCTGCCTTTGCCTTTCCTGAGGAAGAAAAGACAGCTAATTACAGTAGGCAAAAATAGACACATAACTCAGAAGGAGATGAAATCAGCAGGTTGGGACAGTAACCTGTCACTCTTGTTTTCAAATATATCACCCACCTCCTTTAGGACCCCACATGAATCTCAGACTAGTGGTTTATGTTTGTTACCAAAGCAGACGTTGTTGTTCTTGTCCCTGCTGAAGACATCCAGAACTTTTATAATAGGACAGACCTTGCATCAGGATCAGGAAACCCCAGCTGACAGCCAGGGGTAAAGTGACAGGTATGAGGACGCCCAGGCTGGACCCCAGGAAAAATAGCAGCAATGTCCCGCAGCCGTTTTCGGCAGGACCAGCTGTCCCCAGCCTCACAAGCGGGCCACAACTCAGAATTCCTGCAGACCTGGGGGACAAGAAGGCCCAGGGTTCCCTGCAGTACGTCCATATTCGGCCAGGAGGGGGAGCACGAGCACCCGTTTCATTCACCCCCTTACAGTAAAGGGCGACGCTCCAAACGTGCCTCCAACAACGGATTCTGAAAGCCGGACAAAGGAGTTTCGTGTTTCTCTTCTCTGTGATACCTCTACTACCCAAACAAACCAACCCACAAGTTTGTCTGACAAGCCCATTCCTTGAAAACTACAGGCATTCAGATGTGCCTCCCCCAGGGGGTCTCCCCTCTCTAAACACTAAAAGCAGTTTCTTTACAAGGGACCATGGCCAAGGTGCCCTCTCCACAGGGCAGCCCACTTCTAAGCAGGGCGGCTGCGATCTGCACTTGAACACAGTTTATGATGAGCCGGGGCACTGTGACAGGCACCTGGTATGCACATTATTTCCTATTTATCACCACAACCATGTTACATGAATACCATCCTCTCTTCACCTGAAAGTGAGGTTCAGTGAGGTTAAGTGCTCTCCTCAGGGTCACCCAGCCAGTGACAGCAGAGCCAGAATTTGAACCCAGGTGGGCCTAATTCTGAAGCCTGCTCTCTTGTCACTCATCAGGTCCTTGGGCTCATTCATGGGGCCGTGGGAAGTCACCTTCATTTGAAGGCCACAGGTAAGCCTGAGGGAGACATAATCCTGGCCACAACAAAACATGGCCTCCCAGGCTGCCTCTGCTCACTGTGGAGATTAGGCCCAGGCTCCAGCAACCTTCCTCACCCTGTGGTAAGCCTGGCTCACTGCTCTGACAGTTCTGACCCAGCACCGTGACAGGCTCCCCACTTGGGTTGGGATTCAGGTGGGGTAGTAACTGGCCTCTCGAGCGCAGGGCTCAGGAGACAGAGAAGTGACTAGGGAAGGAAGGAAGAAACAGTGAGTCACAAGAGGCTGGTCACACAGACATTGCCTCATACCGAGGGGCTGAGGAAGTGTGCTGGGGAGAGAGTATGCTGATAAGCTGAGAACAGGGTGGCGTGCCAGCAGTCTGAGTCACACAGCGCTTCTAACCTCCTGGCTGGACAGTAGATAAACAACAGCTGGGTGGGGAGGAGGGCGGCAAGGAGGAGGAAGCCAGCCAGAGGACGGGTTACTTTAAAGGAGCTTTTGAGGGAAGAGTAAGTCCCAGTTACGCCCCGCCCTTCCATGCCTCACATTCCCCTCTGTCATTTAGAACAGCAAACAGAGGAATCTTTGAGGGGGCTCAGCATAACCAAGTCAGGAGAAAAACCAAAGATAAGGGGAATGGGGCAGAGGATCCTTGGGTTCAGGTTTAGAAAACGGATGTAACAAGACATTCTACACACTCTCTGATCTTGAGATCATTGGCACCACAAACCATCTCGCCTAGAAGTTTCTAAGGTAGGGTCAGTGAGTTTGTGACCCCCCTAAATGGGTAAAACTATTGGGGGGGATGTTTCTCTAGGGAGAGGGCCCAGAGCTTCCAGAGCCACTGGGGTTTGAGACCCAAAAAGAGAGGGAGAATCACAACATAAAGGAGGAAGTAGAGACTCAAAAGAGGGAGGGCTTGAGGTAGGGAAGCGAGATAAAGTATAGGATGCCTAGTTTTTAGTATGAGTATGTCCCATGTACATTTGGGAAATACTTATACTAAAAAAAAAAAAATTCACTGTTTATCTGAAATTCAAATTTCACTGGATGTCCTGTAATTTTATTTGCTAAATCCGACAATCCTACCTTGAGGTCATAGGGTCACTGCCTGGACCAAACCCCACCTCTCCCACCCCCTGGGACTGAGCTAGCTCTCTCCAGGCAGAGCCATTAAAAGCCACAAACTACTTTAAGGAAAACAAACAAATCCAAACCTGCCCTTCTGAAGAAGCTGCTTCAGGGCACTGAGCTACACACTATGGAACCAGGAACCCCCCGTACCCACATGGAGCTGCCAGGGCTCCTACCCAAAGACACTGGTACAATGACAGAACAAGGGGGACAAAACTGGGGTACAGGGTGCTCTAGCACCTTCCTGGACTGCAAATCTATTCCAGAGTTGCTTCCATCGCTCTGAAGACAGGAGAAAGTTTATGCCAGAGCAAAAAAACCCCAAACAAACCAACAACCTCAGCAGGTCTTTTAAGCCATAATCAAGAGCAGTGAAGAAGGCTAAAAAGGCAGGGAGAGGGAATCTGACAACACCCACCAGAGAATTCTCCCTTGGGGACTCTGAAGAGTGAGCTGTGCTTTTCTGTGGAGGTTTCCTGATGCTCACTCCTAATGTAGGTCCTTGGGCATAATGATGTGAATGAAAGCAGACACTTCCTAGTGTCTCTGGATTCTGTACAAGAGCAAAGCTGCCCTCCGTGCAGCTAAGGATACATCCCCAGCCCCCCGAACTCGCTGCCGCTCACCAGTGTAACCGCAGCGCGTGGAGGAAGGCCGAGAGGCCCTCCATGATCAGGAGGATGGCCACAGTCAGGGTGGCAAAGGCGGCGAAAATGAAGAACAGCGCCAAACCTCCTGCCAAGCTCTTCACGCTAAGGCCGATGTGGATCACCATGGTCCAAAGCACCTCAGACAGCTCTAGGGAATGCAGAGAGACAGGACATCCGGTTCAGTCTGGCAAGAGGTGCTGTGGGCCTTCCATTTGGCTCTGCTGTCCCTCACCTGAAGTGTTTGCTGCACCCTGGCTTCCTGCAGCCTTAGTGGGACTACCGTGCATAGCTAACCTGGCAAAGGCACTGGTCCTCCCATTTGGATGTCTTTCTCCTGGGATTCAGGAGTCTGGATAATTCCAGAACCCTTATATGTTATTTCCACTCTAATTAAGCCCTACATCTGAAAGAGTGCCCAGAGAAGGGGAAAACCATAATTTTCAACCTGAGAGAAATAGACTCACGTGCATGAGCGAGGCTGAGGGCCCAGAGCCGCAGGTAGGAGGCAGTGTTAGAGATGCAGCCCAGGCAGTACTCGATGGTGTGGATGGCCTGGTGGACCATGGTGTCCCCAAAGTCAAACTGTCATGGGAGGAAACCAGAGAGAAGATATAAGGCTGGGAGGGGATGTGTAGATGGTGCTGTGGCCACTTGGTGCTTTGGGCCTGGGTCTGAGCGCCAGCACTAACAGCTACACGGGCCAGGAACCCCCAACGTTGAACTCAGGTGGTGGTTTCAGCTATGCTATCCCCAGAAATCCTGCTGGGCTTAGCCCCCAACTGGGACACTCCATTTCCCTTAATTCTCTACATTTTAATGACCTCCATCTTAATGAGATGATTCTCAACACATTTGTTTTTTTCTTCCCGCTAGGCTGTAAGCTCAAGAGTGGAATGTATGCCGAGTTAAGAGCACTCAGAGAAATGGACTGTCTGGACTCGGGACTCTTAGGGCCCTGCTGCTGGGCCTCCTCCAGCTGACTTCCTCCTTACAGTGCTCGAGGGAAGCACCCTGCTCTGAGTCATGAGAGCAGAAGGGCTTTCCCCGGCCATGCTTCAGGTGACAGGCTATCAGGCCAGAAGCTGCCGAGGCAACACTAAGCCTCTACAGTCACTCCACTTATTATTCTTACAACTTGCTGCGAGCAACCTTTTTCTTTTTTGTGGCTTCTGAGAAGATGACACAGGGAAATTCTGACAAAAGTTTTCCAAAATCCTCCAGTTGACTGAGACCACACGGAACATCTATTGGTTTTTTGTTTCTGTTTTTCTTACGCTCCCTTTCTCCCAGCTTTCCTTCCCACATCAAAAACTGTTTCCAGAATAAGGGGGTAGAGCTAGAACAAGCTTGCAGGAGTTCACATGCAGCCCGCTCCAAGCCCGGCTGGGAAGAATTACTGGCATGCTCTAGAGGCGCGCCAGGCACACTTCCAGGCCTTCCCCCACCCTGCCAGGTGGAGCAATCAGCCTCCAAAGAACAGGGGGCAGGCCCTTCCCGGGCTCCTCCCACACAGCCCGCCCAGAACCCCAGAGGCACAGGGCCTCCCCACCTGCCCTGCCTTCAGCTCAGAGTCTGTTTTTCACCAGTTTCTTTCAAGACTCACATGACCACTCCCAAAGGACCCAAGAAATGTCTCTGGAAATTGCATGGGGGCAGGACAAGAGAAGGACCTGGCTGGTAAAGCGCTAACAGCCCAGGCCTCAGGGGTGCGGCCAGGAGGGAGAGGGGCCAGCTCCAACACGCCATCTTTGGGCGACTGCCTCAGTTTCCCTTACCTGACCATCTACACTCTGAGTATTTCTGGGCTTTTCTTCTGCAACAGGCTCTTCAAGCCTCCTGGTTACCCTAAAAACTAGGGTAATCCTCATTACCTCAATCCCAACAACGCTGCTAAGAGCTCTTTCCCACCAGTGCTGGCTGTCACCCCAGGGCCCATGCTCAGAGGAAAGAAAGGTCCCTGCTCCCAGGAGCACTGGTCTCTGCTCCTAAGAGCTCCACGAAAGCAGGGACTGCTGGGTTTCCTGTAGAACCAGCACCCTTTCAGCAGTTTTATTCTACCCAGAGTTCTTCCCAGAAGAATGGAGAACACACACGGAGGAAGCCTCCCTTCTGGGTATTACCCACACTCTCTGTACTTTCTCTTCTTCCCAACTTCCTGCTTTGTAACCTTGGACAAGTTTTCATCTCTATATAATGGGGGAAGACTATGGTGGGTGAGGATTTAGGGTGAAATGCAGTCAAGCACTTAGGAGCCTATCACTGCCTCAGGAGTCAGCTGTGACTGAGGACAGCTGCAGACTCCCAGTCTACACTCTCCTCCAGGTGCACGGCCCATCCCCTCCTCACCTCCTGGGCCCTGCCCTCCACCCTCTCTGCCCCACAAACCCGACCTTCCCGGCACCCGCTCCCTTGCCTCCCGGGTGTGAGGTCTAACACATTCTGTGTCCTGACTGAGCCCCTGCAGTGTCTCCCACTGTCGCCTTTCCCTCCTCCCTCTGGAGATATTCGCCTGCCCTCGGTTTTCCTCCTACCTCCCTGGATGCTCCTTCCCAGTCTCCATCTTGGTTCTTCCTTAAATGCTGGAGGTCCAGCCTCAGCTCTTACACCTCTCCTGCAGCGCGGCCGCTCAGGGCTTGGATGGCCACCCTTAGGAGTGACTCCCAGATGGACACCTTCATTTCCGTGCTGACTGTTTCCAACTGCCGTGCTACATCTCCTCCTATTGCACCACAGGCGCTTCAAACTCAGTGCCGCCCAAACTCATTAATCACTCTCCTCTGACCCCACCGGGACCTACTTCTACTCCATGTCCCATGGAGTAGGGCCCCAGGCACCGAAGCCTGGAAGTCAATCTTGAATCCTCACTCTCACTGCCTACATTCATTAAAGCCCTGGGATCTGTAGCTCTAACTTCCTTGATCTCATTATCCGTCCCTTCCTTTTCAACTCCCCTGCAAATGCCTCACTTCACTTCAGGCCTCCCAATTCTTTCATGACTCGTATCAGACTAGCTGGTCTCCATGCCTCCAGACTGTGACCCCTCCCCAATCCAGTATCCCCTAGAACACCCCCACTAGAGCATTTCAGCAATGCCCCCTGGGCGGCTCCTTGCTACCCAAACACTCTACCGCTGTGTACTTGTTTATGCCCAACACGTGACGGGCCCACACGCCTGTCTTTCCGGTAACTATACACACTGATGGGTCTGCATGCCCACCCAGTCCCCAGAGACTCCTGCTTGACTGGACTAAGTTGGCAACAATCTCCTCAGGGAATCACTTCCTGGTCTCCTCTTCTCCACCCCACCCCAGTGCTCGTCAGGTGCCCTCTTTCTGTGTTCCCACAGCATCCTGGGCACACCTTAATCACACCATCTGTCACCCAGACTGTTTCCTCAATTTGGCTGGGAGTTCCTTGAAGGCAAGGGCTATGTTTCTCTTCCTGCAGTTTCTGTAGCACCACAGTGCTTGGCACATAGAGGGTGAATGAATGAATGAATGGGCGGGATAAAAGAATTAATGGATGGGTGGGTGGGTGGGATGAATGAACAGATGGGTGGGTGGGTGGGATGGACAGATGGACAGATGGGTGAGCGGGATGACTGAATGGAGGATGGGTGAGTGGCATGAATGAAAACATGGATGGATGGAATGAGTACACAGATGGACGGGTGGGAAGACCACACCTGGTGAGATGGCACAGTAGGGAGAGGTGCCACTGACCCTTGCTGAACGGTTACAGCCTTTAAAGATTTCCTGATCAACTGGCCTGGCTCTGGTTTGCAACTGGACTTAGCGCTCCCCAGGGAGAAGGACTACTGCTTCCACCAGGCTGGAATAGTGGCCTACATGGGGCAAATAGGTTTTCACAGCCAAGCAAAAAGGGGAAGTTCTCGAAGAAGTAGGCTGGACTTAAAAAAAAGTTTTGTTTGAAATCTTTAAATAATTCTAACAGTTAATCTAAATCTGGCTGTGGAGAACTAGACTGTACATGTGCCTAATAAAGATAAAACGTCATTATTATTTAGGAAGCCACGGGAAGCTGAATCCTTGAGGGAGCTGAGGGGCCAGAGACTAGGGAGGCTGAATTACAGTCCGTCTCGGGTGGCTGTCCAAAGACCCTGGGACATGGCTTACAAATGAGGACCATTCTGATGAAGACCATGGCATTGGGTGCTCAACTAGGAAGACACTTGGAAAGAACAGTGTAATGTTGGGGGCTGTGTTACTGGGAGAGGGCCGGGCTCCTCACTAACAGGTAACACACTCCCAGCCAGCCCTTCCAGGCAGCTCAACCAGTGACTATGCTCAGATGAGCAGCTCACAGGAACACAGAGGCTCCTGGATGCCAGCAAAAGAGCCTCTCCAGCCTTCAGGAAGACCGAGCACGGTCTGTTTTTACACAGAACAGCATAGGTTTTCCCGTTCCCATCCCACTGCCCCTTTAGAGAGGACCAGGAGAGCCAGGAAAGGGAAGGATTCATGGGTCTAGGTATTTTAGAGAAAAGTTTTGGGGAAAGATGCAAACAGTGCAGCAAGGCCTTTAAAAAACCCAATTTAAAATTTGTGTATTGCTAAATGAATTACTGCTGAGCTAGAAGGCCTCCTACTCCAAATGTGGCCTGAATAGCCAACTTTGTTTCTATTATCTGGTATAATATGAACTCCTGTCATGCAGATGGGATTTTTTCTGGCATATATTGGAGAGGCAAAGCCTCCTTTTTGAAAGCTGTCTCCCTCCCACCTGGGTCACAGGGAGGGAGATGTGACCCCAAGTGAGGGCCCAGCAATTCTCCTTTCAAGCATCATCAAGCTGACGAGGACAGTAGGAAGAGGTTGGCTGCATCTCAGACAGGGAGGAAGGGTGAGCTCTACTCACAAGCTCTCCGAGGAGCAAGGAGGAAACAGCTACTCCCAGCGGCAGAGCTACCATACCAGACATAACACCACAGGAGAGGAAAGCAAAGACCACTGGGATTTAACCCCCAAGGGGGTCACTTCAAGAATGCCAAAGCAGACATTACTTGTAGCTCCTTTCAAACCATTCTCAGAGGTATTAGATCAGCAAAGTCAATGAAACAAAGACAGAGGTGACCGACATGAGATGCAGTTAATGGAGATGAGCTTTTTCAGAACACAGGTTCACGAACTGGTTAGAAATGGCCAGTGAGATGCGGGATGCGCGGGTGTCATGTGTGAGCCCCCGGTTGCAGCAGGGTCAGCAGACTGATCACAAGGATGGCAAAGAGAAGCCCCAGATAAACATGAAGGCAAAGCCAGCTTGTTTCTTACCACTTCATCCTCGGTAGGCTTGTAAACACAAATTTACACTTAGTGGGAAGCAATGCCACACAGTCACAAGTCACGAGCACAAGGTTATTGACTGTTTCTCGGGAAAACTGTTAATGTTAAATGGGCCTCATGTGTTGGAGGCAGGCCTCCTCAGCATACACAGAAAGCAAACCCAGTGGGATTTAGAGCATTAAGATACATATTTTTTAAAGGCACCCCAACCCTTATATTTTTTAAAATGTCATACACATAGGGGACGTGGTCAGTCAGACTGAAAAGTTCAGTCACCTGGGTCCCCAACTACTATTCTATTTGTTTCAAAAAGAATATAACAACAACAAAAAAGAATAAAATGAATAGATGACATTCAAAAGTTCAGTTCAGAGGCTTTGTGCTGTGAGTGGTCAGGCAAGGAGACTGGATTTTTAAAAATCAGCTTGGAGGTGGTGGTTTAAGGAAAAGTCTAATTTGACCTTACTACTTTTCACTCTCCCTGAAAAAGTAGGCAAATAACATTTTTAAAAAGCTCAAATAATATATCTGCAACAGGAGCACATTAGTGGGACAAGACTTTAAAAAGTACCCGCAGTTACAGTTCCAACTGGAACCATTCCTGGAAGGGGCAAGGGATGAAGAAGCTGCCCTGAGGGGGCTGTGTTTCTGGTAACAAGAGCGGGGAAGCCTGGGCCCACTCTGCCCTTGGTCCCCAGGAGCACAGTCAGTCACTGAGATTGGCATGCAGAGTACTGCGGGCAACTCAGAATTCAACGAGTTGGGACAAGGGAACACAAGTGCCGTGGGAACCACAGGGGGCACCTGGAGTTCACAGCCGGCCCGCTGGAAAAAGCTGTGCTGCCCAAAGAGGCCCAGAAGGCAGGCTGATCACTAGTATTAGCATTTTCATTTTTCAAGAAGACTGGAGGGAGGCCATTTCCGCACACAAGACGAGGGCTGACCCACAGGAGAAGGAGAGGAAGCCCACGCCACTGGATCTTACCTCTTCCGTGTCCTCTGAATGGGTGGAGAGCTGGTCATGCTGAATAATCTCAGCATCCTCCTCTGTCGGTCCGTTGCCCACCCTGATCCCACCAAAGTTGAGAGTTCCCTACACAGATGAACAGAAAGAGTAGAATTTGCCTGGGCTTTAATGTGACATTCTGTGAGGTGGGGAAGGGCGATGGTTAGTGCATACAAACCTCAGAAAAGCATATATTCTAGCAACAAAATCAAAACCCGCTGATCCAACAGCTAAGTAAACACAAAGTACTGTCCCCGCCCCAACCACCACCAGCCCAACCCCAGCCCCTGCATTTACTACCTCATTCTGATCAGTTCTGCCTGCCACACCAGGACGCACCGACCTGGCCTCAGTCAAGGCTAACTGAGATGCCTGCTTGAACAAAAAGCTTCATATGAACAGACTCTTAAAATGACCGTAACTCTATCTGTAAAGCTGTCAGTGCTCTAAGTTTTTCTAGAACTCAAGATCAGACTTTCTAAGAGGGAGGGAAGCCAAATGACAATGGTGACTATAACCCGGTTGGATACACTTTCAACTGGAACCCAAGAGTTCCAGCAACCTCTCCCAGAGGCGGACCAGGTCTCTGCCCAGGAACAAAGGACTTCCTAGATCAGGGAAGGGAAAAAAAGCTTAATGTGCATCAGCCTGTGGCTAGAGAATATGGAGTTTAAAAAAAAGAAAGAAAGAAAAAGGCTCCTTTCCTTCAGTGGAGGACTCCTGAGTGTTAAAACAACTCTTTTACAGGCCTGTGGGCAGATGGTGATTAGGTGCTTGCTTCTTCCCATTTCCCAGGCATTGTGTTCAATGGGTCCCCCAGAACCAGAATTTCTAAGTCAACCTGACTTGGAAAAGCTTGGCTTAATTGAGGCAAAAGGACTCTTTTGAGTGCAAAAACCAGGCAGAACTGGGGTGAAGTCAGACAAATAGCAATGAGTGCTAATCTGCCAGAGGGAAAAGGAGCTAAACAAACAGCCCCTAGGCCCACTTCTTGTGGTTTCTGATCAGGAAGCCCAAAGGAGGCAAGAGTTTAAAAACTGCTCTCCTGCAAAACAGCCTTCTGGGCAGCAGTACATGATGTGCCAACAGGTTTGGTCAAGTGCCCTGGGGTCCCCACTCACAGCTTCACCTTTTGGTGTGCACCTTTTACCACAGCTTATGGACTACCAGAACTCAGTGTCTGGGCAAAGTCTCTCTCTCCTTGTAGCAGGGGTTCTCCCCGTGCTGGTCAGAGAACCAGCTGCATCAGAATCACCTTGAAATTAAATAGAGATTCTCAAATGCTACCTCCAGAAATTATACATTTAGTAGGTCTGGAGTGGGGCCTAGGAAATCTATGTTTAAAAAAATATTTCCCCAAGTACAAACTATATAATCATTTTTACTGCCTATCAAAATTGAAAATGTAAGCACACACAAAAAACGCAAGTACCCTTTGAGACTCAGCAGTCCCACTGCTGGGAACATCTATGTTTATGAAATTTTATCAAGGTACACGGACTACGATATTCCCTGCATTCGTATCTGTAATAGCAAAGAACTGGGAACAACCAACACATCCATCAACAAGAGAGTGATTACACAATTTTAGCATATCCAACAGAATGTTCTATGGAATACCAGACAACTATAAAAGAGTGAAACAATCTCCCAGGATACACTAAAAATTTTAAAACCTAATAAATCAAGGGGCAGAAGACTCAGTTTAAAACACAATTCCTAGTGTGTTTTAAACACATATACATATACATGTACAAATATATATACATATGTATATTAATGGATAATAGATATATGCAGAAAAAATTTGGAAGCAAAATTCCCTTGCCTTTGAGCAGGAGAAGGGCCTGAGGAGAGGGGGGCTTTCTCTTTCTGTATTACTTGCATTCTCTAACCTATTGCTTTAATTTTACCTTCTTGTGTTTTTGTTTTAGTAGGGTTTTAGGAGCCCCAACGTGGGGTTTGAACTCACAACCCTGAGATCAAGACATGAGCTGAGATCAAGAGCCAGACGCTTAACCAACTGAGCCACCCAGGTGTCCCCTAATTTTACTTTTTAATGTCAGTAGGGGATTGCCTAGGTCATGGAATTAGGGACCATCTCTATTATTTCTTCTTTTGTTTTAATACCCTAAGAAACAAACAAATTTGAAGTTTACCAGGTGATTTTGATGTGTAGTCAGATTCAGGAAGCCCTGAGACCCTGGACACCTCCAGGTCATGTGAACCTTACACCTGACAACCCTCAGAAGGTGGACTGCAAGTACAACAAAGGTCACTGTTGACAGGAGAGGACCCCAGCGTACCCTGACATGGGTTACAGGGTCCAGGCAGCCTTCAGGCTTTAAGGCTCCCAAAACAGAAGGTCATTTCTGAAGCTTTCCCCAACCAGCAGAGGGGCAGACAGGTAAATCACCTCCCCAGGCAGACACTAACAAGTGTCCCTTCAGGACACAGGACATGAGAGTTATAGGAAGGGGGGATGAGACATATACATCAGCAGAAAAAAGAAAAGAAAAAAGTAAACTGTGATACACCACTTATAGACAACCAAGAGGACACAGAACAAACACAGATCAATGATCGTATCCTCAGCCCTTAGGGTCAAGAATCCAGGACCCTTGTTGTAAAATGACCATCCTGATGCCTTCAGGCTGCTCTCTAGAACTAGATATTTCGCTAAAGAACCAGTGGGGCGAAGAAGATCCCATGAATGTGCAGCTTTCCAGACTGGGGACATTTAATTTGGGTAGTGTCACAGAAGAGGATGCCAGAGTTAAAAGCATCAAGACTGATGCATCAGAAGCATAAATATGCCAAGACTAGGAAAAAGAAGAGCACTGGGAAAGAATGTCAATAATGGGATAGTATGTGCTTTGTGGGCTTTTTTTTTTTTTTTTAATTTCTCATAGGAAAGGAGAGAGTAAGTCCCTATTTGAACATAATTAAAAGCAGCAACATTAAATTATCTTCCGATCCAAAATGTCAGCCCTTTTAGACTCGTTCTAGAAGGATGATTACGGCAGGTTTCTAAGTTTAAAATGATCAGAAACACCTAATGAAGGAAATGGTCATCCATCTAAATATTTCATTTCCTTTTAAAGGAGTATGATGGCACTAGATCACACTAGTAACATGTGTGATCACTGCTGGTGAGATTTTAAAAATCTTATTGATTACCTAGAATAGACTGGGCTAAGTTGGTAACAGTGCATTAAAAGAGTTTGGTTAAAAGATGTTTCTAAGGGCAAATATTGAAAGGCTTAACATTCAAAGTGCTGTTGCTGAATTATGAGTTGGTATTTAAAGAAGGAAAGATCCAAACAGATGACTTTGCTTACTGCATCAGATGCAGACGGCACATGGGACCCACGCAGACTGGAGGTCTCAGTGGAGCAGCTGAGGACAGGAGGGCTTCTGAGTCTCTCACAACAGAGTAGACATGTATAAGGCCCCACTGGCAGGAGAGAAAGTCATAGCTAAAATGGACCAAATGTCCATGCATCCCTCCAAAGCAGAAGTTTAAAGAGCAGGGAAATTAATTCAAAAATCACAGGAATGTTCTCACTCCATGCTGAAAAATCATCTAATATATGGTTACAAAAGACAGACATGAAAGTGGATGAATCCAAGAGCTGCCACCTTGGATTAAGATGATGGGATTCTGAGAGGGTACAACAGTCACTCTGCTTCCATAGACATGACTGTACTTACAGTTTTTAATAGAAACTTAGTAGACCAATGGTAAAGATGACAGAATCTATTCATAAGAGGTGGAAATCTTTTGTCATCGTCTTAATGAGTAATAAGGACGTACTTCCCAAGAGCTCACATGTCCCATGCTCTCGATATAACTGAAAAGAATTCTGCTGCACTGTTTGCCACCTCTTTACACAAAATGTGATGGTTTGTCAGTTTTAGTTCACTCACTGTTGCAGCCGCTGCTGCCTCTAGTCCCTGCTGGCTCGGGGTTGGGCTGACTGGGGCCTCCACAGGCTGCCCTTCCTGATAGTGAATGGAAGAGAAGAGGAAGGGAGAAAGAAACAAAAGAGGGAGTGAGGGGGGAGACGGATGGAGGGTACATGGAAGGATGAAGATGGTCAGAAAAGGGAGAAGGAGGGTCTTGTAACTCAGCTGCTCTCAAAAAGGAATCATAATCTAACAGCCGTATGAGAGTCATGCACTAAGATCTTTTGGGCTTTACTAGCGAGTGTGGTAAGTAAGCATTATTGCACAGTCAGAAATGAAAATCTGGCAACTTAAGTGTGTGTGTGTAGAATTCATAAGCACACATACATTAAGTAAACACAAGTGTATGTGCTGCTTTTTCAAAAGAAAAAAAAAAAATCAATGTTCTTTAAACCAAATCTTTTTTCCGGATGTCTTGATTGGTGAAAGTATCATGGTCTCATTTTAAAAGAAAATGTCTCAGCGTCAGCCCTGTGGTTGCCCAGGCAAACCACACGAGTGGGTTCACCCACCTGCAGCTCTTGCAGCCCTGATTTGGCTGACGCTGCATCTAGGCAGGCCCAGACCTGGATTGTGCTAAGCACAGCATGAGCAAAGCATGACCATGAAAGGTAAAAACTTATGACTTGTTTCCTCTACCTGAGCTACTCAAAACTGAATCCAGATGTTCGAACAGCAAGTACATGGGTTTTTTTGTTTTTTTAAATTTCAGCAGGTCCAGTGCTCATGCTGGGATATGACACAAGTGCATTTTAAGAGCATATAGACTTATACACGATTCATTGTATCTGGTGAGGAATTGCCTTGATCTGAAGGAAAAAAAAATCTAGTGACTTTCAGCAATAAAAGTACACCCACCAAATGCTTCCTCCTCAAATATTGATGGCGAAGGACCAGTGGTTTAAATAGTAGCATCCAAGGTACACACAGTAGCGCAACCACTACCAGGAAACACTGAATTCCTTTCTACAAAGTAAGGACAAGGCACACCACATTAATCAAACATGCAGTTTCCAACTCCAGCACAAATTTCCCCCAAACAGTACTTTCTTACTGATCTAGGAATAACACTATCTAGCTTCTCAAAATAATTAGAAGATGTTGTGGCAAAGCCCAGGAATTGTCTCACAGGATGGGAGTTATAAATTCTACCCTTTGTGGACACAGGAATTACATTAGATCCTCCGAAGCTAAGGAGAATGGGCTGAATTTAGGTCTGATGTATGGGCTGAAAACTAATACCACAGAAAGAGATTTTTAAAGGCTTTTCCAGAGTCACAGAAATATCCGGCTTCCTGATCTAGGGTAACCACCTAAGACAATCCACCTCCAGGTTGACGCACCTGTCCGGAATACAGCATCGAATTACTAGAGTCCCCGTAGGAAAAGAGAAACATGTTTATGAAATGGATCAGAAGGCTTGGCGCTTTCTCAGATGTATTAGCATTATAGGCTGTCCACTTGTAAAATATAAGGATAACCAAGTAGCCAAACAAAGAGGTCATGAAGATTATTTCAGGAATAAATCCAAAGTAGATATTCAGGGGCTTCTTGAAATAGCTAAAAAGGAAGAGAGAAAAAAAATGTTAAAGGTGAATAGACCCAGGGGCGCCTGGCTGGCTCAGTCAGTGGAGCCTGGGACTCTTGCTCTCAGGGTTGTGTATTCAGGTCCCACGATGGGCATAGAGCTTACTTAAAAAAAAAAAAAAAAAAAAAAGGGTGAGCAGACCCAGGGACACCCTTACATGAAATGGAGTACTTACTAGATTTCCTACCTACAGCTCCCTCAATTCTGTCTTTATCACTTTAAGAAATAACAGCCAGAAGCACTGGAGGCCAAAAGAGACAAGCAGGATTAACCATGACTTCCAAACTCTTGGACCTTGAACATCTTGGTACCACCCCCACCAATCTTTTCCCATGAGAAAGAGATTGGAAAATATAGTACATTCTGGAACCACAGTTCATAATTTTATATGAGTTACAAATAAAAGAAAAAAGTAATTCGCTAATTTTGATGAAAATGACAAAAGGTTTTTCAAAGATCTTTACTGCAGTTGTGAATTGTTAAGGGACTAATATTAATTAAGCCTCATTTAAAAATATGAGATTTTTATAAAAGCACTTCTTTAACATAGAACAGGGTTCTGAGTTACTTATCCCTCCCCAAAAATGTCATGATTTCTTTAGGCAAAAGCATTACCTAAGCTATGCACGTTCTTGTGACATAAACAGAGCAACTCACGTATGGTTGAAGAGGCTCAAAGTGACTCCAAACATCATGTGGATGAGGCCTAGGATAACAGATGTCTTCATTTTAAAGGAGTTGAGAAAGGTCAGTTTATTGGTAGCAATGTTCCAGATCTGTCACAACCCAAGGAAACAAAAAGGCATTACAGAGTTCGTGAATAGGATATTATTATTCACCTGTTTTTTTTTAAAGCAAGCTCTATGTCCAACATGGGGCTAAAATCGTGACCCTGAGATCAAGAGTTGCATGCTCCACCAGCTGAGTGAGCCAGGCGCTCCTATTCACCTATTTTTTAAAGCTTTTTTTTTAATTATGGAAAGTTCTAAACACAGATTTAAGTAGAGAGGACTGTATAACAAACTCACATTTACCTATGACCCAGGTGAAAATTACCTATTGACTCAAGGTCAATCTTATTTTATCATACAGACAACCTACTCCCACCTCCGTATTATTTGGAAGCAAAGTCCAGATACCATATCATTTTAGCTGTAAATATTAGACTCTTTTTTTTTTTTTTTTTTTGAGAGAGAGAGAGCAAGCCCGCATGCTGGAGAGGAGGAGGAGAGGGTCGGGAGAAGGGCAGAGGGAGAGACAGAATCTTTTTTTTTTTTAAGATTTTATTTATTTATTTGAGAGAGAGAGCATGAGAGAGAGCACGAGCAGCGGGGAGGGCAGAGGCAGGGGGAGAAGCAGACTCTCCGCTGAGCAGGGAGCCTGATACAGGACTCAATTCCAGGACCCAGGGATCACGACCTGAGCTGAAGGCAGATGCTTAACCAACTGAGCCACCCAGGCGCCTGAGAGAGAATCTTAAGCAGGCTCCACGCCCAGCATGGACATGGGGCTCGATCTCATGACCCTGAGGTCATGACCTAAGCTGAAATCAAGAGCAGGACGCTTAACTGCCTGAGCCACCCAGGCGCCACAGCCCCCGCCCCCCGCACTTTTGGGTAAGGACTAATTTTTTTTAAAACATGACTACAATACTGTTATCACTCCCAAAGGCATTAATGACGATTCTTTAATATCATGAAACATATAGTCAGTATTTAAACTTCCCTGATTGTGCCCCAATTTTTTATTATTTGTTTATTTTTAAAGATTTTATTTATTTATTTGAGAGAGAGAGCACAAGCCAGGGAGAGAGGCAGAGGGAGAGGGAGAAGCAGACTCCCCGCTGATCAGGAAGCCCAATGTGGGGCTCGATCCCAGGACCCTGGGATCATGAGCTGAGCTGAAGGCAGATGCTTAACGACTGAGCCATCCAGGCACCCTGTGCCCCAATTTTTTAAAAACATAATTAATTTATTCAAAGTAGAGTCCAGATCAGGTCTCTACATTGACACAGTTCTTAAATATCTAATCTATAAATTCTCCCCCTACTCTCCCCTTTTTTATTCCTTACAAAATATTTGAAGAAGCTTGGACATTTATTTTGTAGATGTTCCCACAGTCATTGTTTTGCTGATATCCCCATGGTGCTGTCATTCCATCTATTTTTATTTTTTTAATTTTACTTATTTATTTGGAAAATAATAATCTATCTGAAACAGGAAAAAGGTAAGAAAAAAAAGAAATGTAAAATTTTAGCCTGAAGGATAAACGAGTTGTGAGGAAACACCTGGAGCTCAATATATTACTTTCCCCTGGTGCTGGAGTTTTACAGTCCTGTGGGATCCGTAAGCTTGTCATCCACCTGTTCTTCCAGTCTGTCTTCTGTGGGAGTTCCAACTATTTTTAACTATTAGTTGCCTTAAGCTTTGTCACCTGGGCCTGGACATCTGTAATATTTTCCACAGTTCTTCTGCCTCTACTTGACCATCACATTATGTTTCCTAAATCAGTGCCTCTGATGTGGTCACTTCCCTGTGCCCAAACCTACCCTGCACTCCCACCCCCCCGTCTTCTCTAGGATAAAGTGCAAACTCAGGAGCATGATAAGCCAGGTCTTCCACCGGCTAGCCTGGCATCATTTTTTCTGAAACAACATCCTTGTGAGGAGCTCATCCTTTGTGACTTCTAACCTGACAACTTGTGGCTGGTTCTCTCTCAGCCCCAGTCTCCCCTGATATTCAGTTCTACAGGTCCAACTGCCTGATGGACATTTATACCTGTGCCTCCAACAGGCACTTCAAACTCAACACCTACCCTTAAGCATCAAATGAGATGTACACAAAACAACAAAACAAAACAAAACCAGAAAACTTTCTGTTAACTACAGAACACTACATAAAGTTACCTAATATTATTAGACTCTAAGCTACTTGAGGGCAGGAGCTACAACTTAAATTACATGTTTCCCCCAGCGAGCACTATGCCTGCACACAACAGAGATTCAGTAAACATTTGTTAAATGCTTATGTGAAATGTTATTCAACTTCTCCAAGCCTTGGTCTCCTTATCTGTATGACAGGGATAGCGGTTTCAGGGGAAATCAAAACGGTTTCAGGGACGGGGCGCGTGGGTGGCTCAGTTGGTTAAGCGACTGCCTTCGCTTGGGTCATGATCCTGGAGTCCTGGGATCGAGTCTCACATCGGGCTCCCTGCTCAGCGGGGAGTCTGCTTCTCCCTCTGACCCTCCCCCTTCTCATGTGCTCTCTCTCTCTCATTCTCTCTCTTTCAAATAAATAAATAAAATCTAAAAAAAAAAACAAAACTGTTTCAGGGGAAATCAGATGTGCTGAGGGCAGAGTACAGAGCACAGTGCTTGGCCTACAGTGACCATTTCACTAACATTTGCTTTTATAATAATCAAAATGAGTAACTTTGCATCTCCCCACCTCTATGCTTTTGCACACACTTCTCACCTGTTAACAATCTGAAATTAATGCCCATTTTTTAAAGAAACCTTGATCTTTCTGGCCCATAATGATCTGTTTTTCCTCTGGAATTCTGTATTCCTTCCTGTCGAATGCTCATTCTTAAATTCCTCCCCCTATCCCCCTTTAAGCACACAATACAAAAGATCTGATCACACTTTGCCTACTTTCTTTTTTTTTAATTCTGGGAAAAGTTTCTGTAAGTATATAAAGATTAAAATGGAAATCTAAAAATCCATAGGAAAGAACTGCTTCTGCTTTGTTAAAATATCTGCTAAAAATAAAACCCAAAATAAGTTAAACAGAAATAAACTGGAAAGGAGTCTTAAAAGTCCATCTTCCCAGGGTCAAACTTATTAGGCATCTCTGAAATAAGCAGTGTGGGAAAAATTATTCGGCTACCTAAGGCACTTGGGTTTCTTATGCTTTGGAAGTACTCTAGACGGACACACAAGGGCTCTCCAAAAATACTGCAACTGAAAACCAAATAACTAATTTAATTCTCTCACTTCAGGGTTGCATTTTATTTTTTTTTAAAGATTTTATTTATTTATTCATGAGAGACAGAGGGAGAGAGAGAGAGAGAGAGAGAAGCAGAGAGAGAAGCAGGCTCCCAAGGAGCAGGGAGCCCGACGCAGGACTCGATCCCAGGACCCCGGGATCATGACCCGAGCTGAAGGCAGACGCTTAACCATCTGAGCCACCCAGGCGCCCTCAGGGTTGCATTTTAAAAATCTGGTGTTAGGGGCACCTGGGTGGCTCAGCTGGTTGGGCATCCGACTCTTGGTTTTGGCTCAGGTCATGATCTCGGGGTCCTGGGATCAAGCCCTACAATGGGCTCTGTGCTCAGTGCAGAGTCTGCTTGGGATTCTTTCCCTCTTCCTCTCCTTGCCCCTCTGCCCTTCCCCCTACATGCCATGTGTGCATGGGCTCGCTCACTCTCTCAAATAAGTAAATAAAATCTTAAAAAAACAAAAAATCTGGTGTTAGACATAATAGGAAAGAAGTGCTCTTACTGGATCGATGCCAAAAGGGTATGGTCCACCAAAAACTCCAGGGACAGACGGGTTCAACTGCAGAACAGGGTTCCCCCGAAGCGTCTCCTCCCTACCATGTTAGAAGAAAAGTTCCATTTGTTTTTATCAAGAGAGGGAAACTGCTGGGGTCCAAAACGGATCCTAAAAGAAACTACTACAGCTGTCTTGTCTCTTCAATAAAAGAGGAAGGACTAGCATCTGAGAATGAGAAGGGATCAGAAATAACAAAAGACCAAAACAAACAGACACACCTACACAACTAAGTAGGGAATTTGGGGAATCTGCTTTTAATTTACAAAAAGAAATAATGTGCCTAAATTTACAGTCTCAGTTTCCTTCCTCCTTCCTTTTTTTCTTTCTCTCTCTCTCTCTTTCTTTTTTTTCTTAAGTAGGCTCCACACCCAGCATGGAGCCCAATATAGGGCTTGAACTCACGACCCCAAGTCCAAGACCTGAGCTGAGATCAATAGTCAGATGCTCAACTGACTGGCCACCCAGGCGCCCCAGGCACTCAGTTTCTTGATAGTGCTGAAGGAATCACAAACATTTGCCAGGCTGGGGCATAAATAAGAAGGGACACCGCATTCTTCTGAAACAGAGACGCTGTCAGCCACTTTCTAAAGAAGTGTAAGTTTATCTCTTGTCTGGAAAATCAGAGCTGAACAGGAAAGGAATAACCGGACTTTTAGCTTCTTCGCAACTTACGTCCAATTATATAAAGTGAACATTGGCCGTACGCTCCAGGATGACCCGAAGATATTAAGAGACTTGGAAAAGCAATCATTGTAGATGAGGCCAGTGTAGATGGAAAACACACCCATCAACAGAATAATGTACCGGCCGCTGAACACGGTGCTAAACATCTGGGAACCAGAAGAAAGAAGTCAATGAAATGTATTCCCTATGGCTCAACACTACTGTTGTGACAACATTATTGAGAATGTATGGCCGTTCTTCTCCCACCAGTTTACCCCACACCCCAGGTCAGAGAACTTAAAGGCCAAAGTACAAGGCTAACAAGAAATGACTTTCACAGCACATGACCGCTTTGGAGTTAAAATGAATCTAACTTCTCTGCTCTTGAAACAGCCTCTGTAACTTCTCTATAAATTCATGGATAGAAGACTTCCAGATCCTAATGTTATAATGAATGCTTGAGAAATTACAAAGTTTCAGTCCAACACCCACGGAGCAAACATTACCTCATTCTCATTCTTCTGAGACAGGATCCGGCTCTCCCTCAGTACCATCCACACGGCAAAAAGGGTCATCAAAATACCATGGCCAAAGTCCCCAAACATCACAGCAAACAGGAAAGGGAACGTGATGATGGTATAGGGAGCTATAAAGAAACCAAGGGAAAAAAACAAAGTACAGAAAACCGCAACCAGGCAGCAGATCACACTCCTCGTGCTCTGAGATCAGTATGAGGGGCTTATTCCCTAGCTGCTGGTCAAGTGGACTCCCAGAGAGAACCTTCCATGGCGGGATCTGCCCGTGCTCACCAAGCAGCTCTGATGGGATCCGGGCTACCGCTAGCATTCTAAACAAAGAACACAGAGAGTGAAAGTTTTGTCCCTAGCCCTGGCTGGGCACTTCCTTTGTTCTTTGATTCCTTTTCTCTAAGCCCTGGAACACTGCTCCTTTGACAGGCTAGCTTTCTTCTCTTGTGCAGCAACCATTTCTCAGCTGAAAAAAGCTCCCAGGTAAGTGGGAGAAAGCCCAGACTCAGAGCAAAGCCAGTCCTGCAGAAGACTCTAGCTAAAAACAAATTCTCAGACTCTTGATTTAATAATTAACTCTCCTGTTTTTGCTTTGTGAAACCTGCTTTGTGTCTAAAATGGTCAATAATTGCTATATCTTCTCTGTCTAACCTGGAATAGGGAAGCCATTTGAAAATATCAGCAATCTTGGAAAAAAACTTTTTGCTTAAAGTATTCTGCAAATGTGCTAGAGAAAGCCAGGTGTTTCATAGTTGTGAGGATACACAAAAGAATCCAATCCACTGAGCTCACTCCTATAAAACCACCTCTCAAAGGAGTGCCACCTAGCAATAAACCTCCCTCCCTGTGTCAAAATGGGCACCTCCTTACAGCAATTACACTAGAGCTGAGGTCTTGACAACATCGTTAGTTTTATCCCAGCTACCCAAGAACATCTGAAGGGAGGCATTAGAAGAAACAAATAAACAAAAAATAAAACTTCTGGAGGCAGAAGATTCAAGTTTTTTTTACCTGGATTTATCTCTCGGTAAGTTCCAATTCCGTAAGCATCTACTATGTTCTGAAAGCCATATGTGAACTTGTTCGTTTTGTTATAGGTTGGGGGCGTCTGATTTGTTTGCATCCTGTTCAGAATAGAGGGCACAGTGGAGCCACTGTGTTCCTGGGAAACATTAAACACATATATCAAAATTAAATCATCCTAATTGTGGTGGTTACACAGATGTATATATTTATCAAAATTCATCAAACTATACATATAAAATAGGTGCATTTTATTTTATGTGAATTGCATCTCAATCTTGCCCAGTCTTTGGAGAAACTGGAGCTAGGTATAAAATCTACAATGAAAGATTTAAATTAAGTGTGAAAGAATATCCTTATGTGAGAAAATTCAATTCTAAAATGTGCAACCAAAGAAAACATGGAACTTCCTTGTCTGGAGACATCCTCATCTGCCTTTCTACCAAGAGTATCGTTTTTCTTTCCTTTTATGGAGACAGCAGCGTTAATCTTCTCAAACTTTAACTGCTAGACAGGACTGCCAGGGTTATCCCTCAGAAGCAGTCTGATGGGGGCGCCTGGGTGGCTCAGTCAGTTAAGTGTCTGTCTTTGGCTCGGGTCATGATCTCTGGGTCCTGGGATTGGGCCCTGCGTCAGGCTCCCTGCTCAGGCTCAGCTCCCTACTCCCTACCAAAGTAGTAACTAACTAAGCTTTAGTTACTCAGTGGGGTCTGCTTCTCCCTCTCCCTCTGCTCCTTCCCCGCCCCGCCCCCCGCCTGCTTGTGCTCTCCCTCCCACCCTCTCTCTCAAATAAATAAATAAAACCTTAAAAAAAAAAAAAGAATCAGTCTGAGGAGCAGAGAGAATGGATAAGGAAACTGATGTTCTGGTCAGGAGCTGTTCTGAAGAATCATGGGTATATGACCAGGTCATTTTGTCTTTTTTTTTTTTTTTTTTAAGATTTATTTATTTATTTTGAGAGCTAGAGCGAGCGAGCGAGCGAGCGAGCGAGAGCGCACGCAAGCGCACACACATGAATGGGGGGAGGGGCAGAGGGAGAGGGAAAGAGAGAACCTCAAGAAGACTCCATACTGAGCGTGGAGCCTGATGTGGGGCTGGATCTCACAACCCTGAGATCATGACTTGAGCCGAAATCAAGAGTCAGACACTCAACCGGCTGAGGACTGAGCCACGTAGGCACCCAGTCATTTCATCTTTTTTGAACTGCAGTTTCCACATTTGGAAAACAAGGATATACAAAATGTACTGTTTAGGAAACAAGAGGAGTACAAGATGAGTATATCCAAGAACTCTGAAAGTAAAAAGGCCATAAAAATGTGATCAATTAATGTTACAGTGGGTGGGAAGCGCTCTTTCCCACTGCACTGCCAGCTGTGGGGGACTCACCGTGCCCCTCCTGAGCGCAAACTGGATGGAGTCAAGGTCGGTGACAGGGCACCAGACCTCTGCAATCAGGCACTTCTGGGTCACGTCGATGTTGCACAGGTTCAGGGTGTGGTAGATGGCCTTCATCTTCCGCACCTTGATGAACCAGACACGGATGTTCTTAGCGGCTGCCTGCAGGACCCTCTGGCGGTGATCCTCTGTTTGATTGAGAACCTTTTGGGAGAGAAAGGAACTAGGAGAGAGCCTTCTACACCAGGCTTGGGTCTCAGGATATGAATGACAAAGAGGCACAGCTTTCTGAGAAGGGTTGCTAGGGATTTATTCTTCTTCTGACTAGAATGGCTTTTGCAGGGGGCAAATTACAAGAAATTAGAGCTTTAGTTACTAACATTCATTTTTCATCTGGCTTCAAGCTGAAGAGAAACCTGAGGAAATAGTTTTTAGTTCCTCTATATTTATCTTCCCACAAATCCACAGCTTACTTACCTGGATCATTAAAGAGCAATGGCTTTCCATGTAGAGTTTGTAACTCAGACTCAAAGAAGTCAGCATCATAGGGCTGGGAGTTGACAAAATCCACACTTAAAAACAGTTAGCTGCAGAATGCCCTGAACATAAGCCAGCATCAGGGAATGATGGGAAAGAGGCAGTGCTGAACACCATCGCCTGCCTATGCCAAGAGAGACTCCATGCCAGGGAACAAGGGACAGGAGACACTATGGGGTCAGAAGGACTCAAGGCCTTAGAGGAGATTAGACTGCCACATACCACTGTTATCGTGGGGCAGATAAGGCTTTATCTTTCTGTCAGGCTTCTTGGGGGAAAAAAAACGTTTCAGTGCTGATCCTTTGGAAACCAGTACACATTGCCCTCACAGTAATCACACTGCCAAGACTAGAGTGAAAGGAAGGGGCAGGGACGCTTAACATTCTACTGCCTTGATTATCACCATTTAAGATTTCAATAGCAGGAGAGGGGTTAAGCCAAAGGGCGAGCAACCCACCACTCATACTTCTGCATGAAAACTGACCTTAAATCTCCACATTTCTTTAAAGAAGAAAAGCTATGCACTAACCATTTTAGCACAAGGTGCCATCATACCTGGCTCATCAAGTCAATTCAGAAAAAAGTAGTAACTACTTTCTGAAGGGCAGTAGGTGGTGACCTCCATAGAGGTTTTTAAAAAAAAAAACGTACGCGGGGTGCCTGGGTGGCTCAGTTGGTTAAGCGTCTGCCTTCGGCTCAGGTCATGATCCCGAGGTCCTGGGATCAAGTCCCGCATCGGGCTCCCTGCTCTGCCAGGAGCCTGCTTCTCCCTCTCCTCCCCACTTGAGCTCTCTCTCACTATTTCTGTCTCTCTCTCTCAAATAAATAAATAAAATCTAAAATAAATAAATTAAATTAAATTAAAAAGACGCATGTTAGAGAAACTTGTGCTCTATCTCTGTCTCTCTCAAATAAATAAAATCTAAAATAAATAAATAATTAAATTAAATTAAATTAAAAAAAACACATGCTAGAGAAACTCTTGTTATCACCTGAGAAGGAACAAAGTTATTTTCTCTCCTTCTGGCTGTTGACAATTTTACAACTACTATTCAAACTTCTGGAAGGATGGGGATAAACTTGTAAGCAATGCCCTATCTGCTTTTCTCTTTCCCCATCCCCCACCCCCCACATCTTACTCCTTGATATTCAATCCCTTTTAATTTTTTTATTTTTTAAAAAAGATTTTATTTATTTGACATAGCAAGAGAGAGCACAAGCAGGAGGAGCAGCAGAGGGAGAAGCAGGCTCCCTGCTGAACAAGGAGCCCGATGCGGGACTCGATCCCAAGATCCTGGGATCATGACCTGAGGCAAAGGCAGACGCTTAACCGACTGAGCCAACCTGGCAACCCTTTTATTATTTTTTCAAAAGATTTTATTTTTAAGTAATCACCACATCCAACTTGGGGCTCAAACTCACAGCCCCGAGATCAAGATTTGCATGCTTGGGGCACCTGGGTGGCTCAGTCGTTAAGCGTCTGCCTGTGGCTCAGGTCATGATCCCAGGGTCCTGGGATCAAGCCCCGCATCGGGCTCCCTGCTCAGCGAGAAGCCTGCTTCTTCCTCTCCCACTCCCCCTGCTTGTGTTCCCTCTCTCGATGTGTCTCTCTCTCTCTCTCTGTCAAATAAATAAATAAAATCTTAAAAAAAGAGAGTTGCATGCTCTACCGACTGAGCCTGCCAGGCACCCCTCAATCCCTTTTTAAAGTTTCAGTTCAGGGGCACCTGGGTGGTTCAGTTGTTAAGCGTCTGCCTTTGGCTCAGGTCGTGATCCCAGGGTCCTGGGATCCAGCCCGACATCGGGCTCCCTGCTCAGCGGGAAGCCTGCTTCTTCTTCTCCCACTCCCCCTGCTTGTGTTCCCTCTCTGGCTGTGCCTCTCTGTCAAATAAATAAATAAAATCGTAATAAATAAATAAATAAATAAATAAATAAATAATAAAGTTTCAGTTCATACAGCTGGGTATTTCAAAGATCAAATTCTGACCATATTGCCTGTGCCTTTTAAAAATCTACACATAAGTCTAGGAGGGGATAAGATAGCCCTAGAACCCAGAACATACTAACTGGCCTATCACCCAACAGCAGTTCTAAAAAACTCTCCTCCCGTGTTTAAACAGGTAAGTGTATCTCTGAGAAGGTGGAAATAGGTCAAGTTGGTGGGTCATAGACAATGGGAGTTGGAGGGAAAGATGACAAAGGGAGTTGAAATGGGAGTTACAACATATCTCTGACAATTTTGCCCCTGCTGGAAAGAACTGTCTTTGAGATTAAGTACAGTGGGCTGCCTTATCTGTAGGGGACAAAACGCAAGACCCCCAGTGGGTGCCTAAAATCGTGCATAGTACCTAAGTATATATAATACGTTTTTTTCTATACACACATACCTATGATGAGGTTTAATTTAAAAATTAGGCACAGTAAGAAATTAACAATTAATAATAGAATAATTTTAACAATATGGTATAATAATAAAGTCATGTGAATGTGGTCTCTCTCTCAGTATCTTATTGTACCATACTCACCCTTCTTGTGAGGATGTGAGAGGATACAATGCCTATGTGAGATTAAGTGAGGTGAATGATGTAGGCATGTGACACAGCGTTAGGCTACTATAACCTTCTGACAACATCAGGGGATCATGTTTAAGACCCACAGCTGACTGTGGGTAACTGAAACCTCAGAAGGCAAAATCGCAGATAAAGGGGGGTGGGGACTACTGTATGTTTTAATGTTTCAAGAGGGCAAACACCACATCCTTTCAACAGGGAACAAAGCTCCAACTGGTCACACTTTCCTTCCATGTACGCCTCAATCATGACTCCGTCCTTAGGACCTCATGACAACCATGGAGCGTATTAACCACACTGGTGATGTGGTAAAAATCTAATAGTCTCTTCTTGGGTACAAAACTTACAGTAGGACTCTCTGGCTAGACCGTGTGGTTAAGATCCGAGGTGACCAAAAGTTAAACACCAAGCTGTTAAGAGTGGCTGCCTCTGGAGGGAAAGAGTGTGTGAGAGAGGGCAGAACTGACTTCACACGTACTTCTGTATTACTTGATTTTTTTCCTTAACTAAGTATACTTTTTTACTCACAAAAAATACCTCAGACTCATGAAGAGGGAAACTGAATACTTGAAGCAACAACAATTTCAGATATATAGCATTCCCGTCGTGTTTGAGGATGATTAACGCTGTTATGCTATTTGTAAGTTATTCCCTGAAACTTTTCCCCAGCTCCCAAGGGCACAAGTTACCCACGGACACTTGTTTTTTTGCATCCTGGCTGCCCTTGGTGCCTAATAAACTGTTCGTGTTTCAAGAAAGGGGAACGGTCTTCGATTATAGTATTTCACACACAAAAAAATTCCCTCCAGCCCTCTGGTACCATTTGGAGATCGTCAATCCTGGTATTAACTCCAGAAGCCATTTCCTTCCTCTCCTGTGGTGTCTCAGGACAGGGATAGAGTGAGGCCCGGAACCTGGAACATACAGACACAGCCTGATGGACACTGAAGTTTCTTAACCTGTTCAATTTAAATAACCTCAGAAAGTAATCTTAATGTACTAGAAGGACCAAAACTAGAAGGATTAGCTCAGACTGGTACACTGATCATTAATAAATACGAAATGTCCTATAGATTGAGCAGTAACATTTGAACTATCTTGACATTCTCTGCAGCTACTGAATTCCCTTAGATTAAAATTTTAAAAACCCAATAACATAATAAAAAAAATTTTAAAAACTCAGTAATACAAATCATATTGTAAATTACTTAAGAAAAATGGCACGGAAAAGAGATCTTATGGACAGAATTTCAGAAAAGTGTGCAGGCACAGCGCCTATGGCACACTGCTGGGTACACAAACCTATTGTCCTAGAACAATGTAGCATTTATAAACCACGAGTCCTAATTACTTTTTTCCAAAGAAAGGAAATTGCGGTTTTGACAGTACTTTTAAAAACGAACTTAGATCATTTCTAATTATTTAAAATAGCCCTAATATTATTAAAAGATATATGCGCTGTGTCAAAGTAGACTAAAAGGGTTATTGTTTCACTATTCTATATTCTAAGACTTAATAGTTAGGCAGCCTGGCTGCACCCCTCAGGGAGGCACATTTCTCTTACCCTTCGCAGATCTTTTTGACTCTGTTTTTCAGCTGATCGCCTTGGAAGAAAATGATGAATACGGACTTGTGCACGTAGTCACCCTGGGCCCCAAACCCAAAACAGAGAATTCAGACTTCTGGCCCGGAAGAAAATTTCTTAAATACCCTACTGTCTTGGTGATATAGGAACAACGGGAGTCACTGAAGGATATGGCAACCCTGCACTTGAATTATCATCCTTCATCCGTTTAAGCTCTGTTATAAGAACATTTGCCCTGTAGTCTCTCATTCACACAAAAAACCTTAGATATTTGTTTTTAAACTCAACCATGAGCTGAACACAGACACTAAGATGATTCTCCTTGTAGCACCATATAGCCCTTTTTACCAATTCAACTTCAAACCTTACACTGCCCGAGTAAGGATGGAGGTGAGGAAAGGAAGCCGTTCCTGTTTGTTCTATGCCTAGAAGTTCCCAGATAAAGGGGACTGAGGAACTATAAGGAAGTGAGGGTTTGGGAAGAAGGTTGATGTGGAATCTCATGCTTCATGCTAAGTTTGATCTAAGGGGCAGGGAGGAGGAGGGCAATCTATTCCAAATACCAAGCTCACACATGAAGTCTGACACAAGGACTGCAGGGAAAGATCAGAAAAATTAGCTTAACTGGATGTTAACCAAGACTGCCTCTGGTTGCCTGTATTTTCTCATATTCCTAGAATTTTTATAATAAAAAACAAACTTTAGAAGGATAAAAGGAGATGAGGAATGAAGAAAATGAGGCAAAGAGCCTTAAATCCCTAAATTCTCCAGAATGGAGAATAAACTGGAGCACATTCCTTGTGCAGCCTCTCTACTGTAGCTATCCAGACCCCTTTCCTCAATTTGTTGATAAAATTATGTTTCCGTTGCCCAGAAACTTGGCTGAATATTCCTGAGAACAGCTCCACATTAGGAGTCACTGCAGACTGCAATGTCCCCACAATGTGAGGACAGCCTCCGGTGGGTCTGCACAACTGCTCCTCTGGGGGCTCCCCGAACCCTAAGTGTCACCACTCTCCTCTTCAGGAGAATAAAAGGATAAAAGCCTCAGGTGCCCAGACCATTTCAGCCACATGACCCACCCACTCTGAGAAGTCTCACAATCCGATATCTCTTCATGGAGCAAAGGATATTAATATAAGAACATCCAAAAGATAATTTTCTTTCTTTTTTTTTTTTTTAAAGATTTATTTATTTGAGAGAACGAGAATGAGAGACAGAGTACATGAGAGGGGAGAGGGTCAGAGAGAGAAGCAGGCTCCTCGCCGAGCAGGGAGCCCGATGCGGGACTCGATCCCGGGACTCCAGGATCATGACCTGAGCCGAAGGCAGTCGCCCAACCAACTGAGCCACCCAGGCGCCCCAAAAGATAATTTTCAACAGAAAATCCAAGCCCAGGCTTCCAAATGTTACCAATACAAAAGTAAAGTAAATTTTTTTGCAGAACGTTTTGCTTGTGATCCTTGAAATCAGGATTCACCATACTTAGTGTAGGTTGATGTTAAGAACTCTGTCCCATTATGTCAAATGCCAAGATGTTCAGCCATTCCTACTTTGCAAAGCACTGGGTAGGGAAGATCCTCCTACCTTGCACATTAAATTATTTTTTTTTAAACTAAGTTTCTAAATCTCCCAACAAACAAATAGACAAAAAACCTTACCAACTAAAAATTTCATCACCTTATAAAGCTCATAGTTGAGGAGGAACTCTCTCTGGTATTACCAAATACTATTTGGTATTACCAAACCTGGAACCAGATGTCATGCTCTAGTTTTCATAGAAAGTTAATTTTCTTTTGGCCTCTGATAAGTAACAAAAGTATATAAAGCTGAAATTTAAAATAAGGGGGAAAAAACATATAGTCCAAATCATACCAACACAGGTGGGGCTCAAAAATGTCTATGCATCTGTTAGTATACATCATAGGTACACAGAGGACGGAAGTTAAGAGGAAAAGAGTAGTACTTCTTATTCGCAGATCAGGGTAGGGGGAAACATAAGGGCTCCTCTGTGGGAGGGTCAGATTCAGGTGGTACCATGCAGTGTTACTGCTCTGAGCTCCCTTTACAAGACCTACTCCACGGGACGCAATTTTCTTGTCTTACAGTCACAGGATCCTCCAGGGGGTTCTCGATTTCAGCCTGTCGCAGGAACACATTTCCCCGGCAGACCCGCCAAAGCATGCGCTCAAAAGTAGGGATGCGCTCCCGGTTAATCACACCAGCCACGAAGCTGTGGGAAGAAGAGCCAGATGGGGAACTCTATTCCACGCCATGGGTTGGAAGGCTTTAAGACAAAGAAGGGAAGTGAGGGGAGGGGGTAAACATGACAACACAAGGCTATGCAATGTTATGTCAAAAGGACTCCCAAAGTTTTCTTCCAAGAACCAGGAGAGAGTTGACAGAACAGCTCAGGAACTGAATCCAAAGTGACATAGGAACACCTCTCAAGAGGCTCAAAAGAGGGGCGCCTGGGTGGCTCAGATGGTTAGGCGTCTGCCTTCGGCTCAGGTCAGGATCCCAGAGTCCTGGGATCGAGTCCCGCATCGGGCTCCCTGCTCCTTGAGAGCCTGCTTCTCTCTCTCTCTCTCTGGCTCTCATGAATAAATAAATAAAATCTTTAAAAAAAAAAAAAGAGGCTCAAAAGAGAACACATCCTGGAAACAAGTGAATGCCCAGCCTCACTACTCTATTGATAAGCAAACATGAATGTGACCCAACTGAGTTATGGAGGGTCGAAACAGTACTCACCCAAGTCTTAAAGGTGTGCCTCTTCCCATCTCACTTGGCTCCAAGAGGGACGAGGACTCTTCCAACAAGTCTGGATCCGCCATCTGCTGATGATGCAATTCAGCCTGAATTCACAAATCAATTAATATCTAATGAAAATAGTTAGTGGCATGCAGGGAACGAGGAACCAGGAGGTAAGTTCAGAAAATAAAGATGGAAAAGAAAAAAACCACCAAAAGAGACAACATACCCATGAAAAGAATAGGGGAAGAAAACAAAGGAAAGAAACAAGAGGAAAAGAAAGCTTAACTGCCCCAGTGAAGCATCGGGGAAATGGTTTTTGAAATAAAGAATAAAGGAAAAAAAAACACTAAATAATGATGACAATGTATAAATCTGTTATTTGGTGGAAACCATTTTATCTGTGTTTCCCTGAACGAGCCATGAAAGTACTAGGAAATACCTGTGCATGCGGATGGAAGCGGAAATGTTTCTCCATTTTCAGCAAAACCAAAGCAGCTCTGAAGATACTCTCAGCATCAAATTTCCGGGCAGGTAGAGACTAGAATTTTCCCTGGGTGGGAATGTGAAAGATGGAGACTCTCTTTCCAAGGAAGAAAGCAAGGCACAGCCACCGTCCCAAGCACAGTGTGAACAGGAGAAAGGCGGAAGGGGCATTTCCACGTGTCTGGGTTTCCATGCTCTTCAAAATTCAGAACACGAGAGCTTTCAGCATGGCCACCGTATAAAATGCCCCAAGCCATGGGATTTAAAGAGTATTTCTTTCTCCAAAAGGAGACGCAGCATAGCAGCTGGTCAGGCCTAGACCTCCACTGCATCAACAGAAGGAAGAAAAAGTGAAAACCTATCTGAATGTCCTAGTTTCTGACCAGGTATCTAGGAATATTAAAAAGTTCATGTGAGGCTATATAGTTTAAGGGTCACTGAGAACAAAGTGGAAACCAATAATCTCAATCAAGTGAAGATAATGTAACTGATAATAAGCCAATATAGAGCATGTAGGCTAGTTTAATTGTTCAGATTTAAAATGATTTCCACCATGACAGTTTATACAATGAAATGAAGGAGGAGAGGGACCTTCTCAGATAGAGGTCTATACTTCCTAAACTCTCTCTACGCAACACATCCTACTACCTTTTAGTCTTATCAGGAAGAAGAAGCTGCTCTAAAAAATAAAGGCCAATCAAATTCTCTACCACCTGATCTTCCCAACTTTAATATCCACATACTGCTTGTTTGACCAAAGACTAGAAATCAGCCAGAAGAATCCTCCTTTTCAAAAGCAAAACTAAACAAAAAAATCAGGAGAATTTTTCTCTATCATTTTCATTCCAAACATCAGTTTGATTCTCTTCCTGTTAACCCTGCGATCAAAAAATGTCACAAAGGAACCTCACTTGATAAGTGATAGGACCATAAAGGTAAAGTCAAGGGGTGCGGGGGAAGGCTTTAGGATTGAGTATAAACCTGAGGATATAAACCAAATGATAAGGCTGAAAGCCTAAAAAAAAAAAGAAAAAGAAATTTGGGGGGAAGTGACTTCTAAAAGTTGATGCAGGATCAACATTCAACTTTACCCCCCACCCCGGCTGAATGAAAGAAGGGACAGAATGGAATGGAAAGGAAAAGAGGAAGGAAGGAAGGAAGGAAGGAAGGAAGGAAGGAAGGAAGGAAGGGTGGGCACTGAGTACGTCAGAGGGCAGACAAATACTGTCATGAGATGTGAAAAAGTTTAAGATGAGATAATGTGGGCAACAGATTTCCACTTGCTATCGAATGGAAGTTTAGGGGGCTTTTTTTCGTTTCTACTTAATATCAAATCAGCTGATTGCAAGCCACAGGCAACTCATTTTAAGGATCTAGATGACTGGGGCGCCTCGGTGGCTCAGCTGTTTAGCGTCTGCCTTCGGCTTCGATCATGATCCCAGGGTCCTGGGATCGAGCCCCACATCGGGCTCCCTGCTCAGCGGGAAGCCTGCTTCTCCCTCTCCCACTCCCCCTGCTTGTGTTCCCTCTCTTGCTGTCTCTCTCTCTCTGTCAAAAAATAAATTAAAATCTTAACCAAAAAAAAAAAGGATCTAGATGACTACCTCATTTCAACTTGTTCTTAGGATGTCCCTTGGCAAAAACCAGTGAAACTGACTGCTACCCACAAGACTTCTGCCTACTTCCCTGTATGGTTCACAAGACCTGCTTTCAGTAAACCCAAAAGATCAGGCACAGCACAAACATATGTGCTCTATAGGGGACAACTGATGGAGCAGCAAAAAGCACTGAGCAACGAGACTACTCTGTAGTCCACTACTCACCTGGGACTCTAGGCGTAAAAAAAACTTCAGCAGAATTAAAATTAAATGGAAACTTGCAATAATATTCTAATTAATAATTTCACTACTTCATACTTAAGAATCCTAAATCTTAGAGAAGGAAGTCAAACATTTTTAAATAAAATAACTGGGCCTCATGGGGAACTAGGGGGACCAGAACTGCTCACTGAGGGCCTTTAAGACAATCTCTAAAACTGCATCATGGGGTATCTGAATCCTATTCTGGGTTCTCTAATAACAAAAACAACACTACCAATGTGCGTCTGAATTACTTGCTATGCTCTTTGGTTCACCTTTCCCCCAGTCAGAACACGAAAACCATGCCCTGAAAGAGGAAGCAGCAGCATCTCAGCAGCACCCTGTCGACAGCACATCCAGTTCAAGCTGCGTTAATTACCAAGAGCAAACACTTTTACTTCCATCTATATTGAGAGAGAAATCACATTTCATCACTTAAGGTGTTCACCCAAGCCCCAAGGGAGATGGCAGATGGGAAAGAAAAGTAAAGTAAAGCAGATGGATGGAAGACTCAGAAGGAAAGGAAGGCAGGGACCTGCATGCCATTAACCATTACTTTTCCAGTCTTCTTTACGCTCTCATAGGTTAGGGTGCTTATGGTAAAAGATGCAGAGAACTCTCTCCAGCTCTTACAGTTCTTCATAAGCAAGAAGACTGAGAAAAGGATAATCATTAACAAGTCATTTTAAATGCTCTGGATAAGAAATGGCTATGTCGAATTTGCAATCATCTTAAATCATAAGAATGTTCAATTTATGTTTACTCTTCCCCTTCCAGACATCTTGCCAATCATGACCGCTATGCCTAAAGATGGAAAGAATCATTTTCTGATTGAGCCATTTTCTGCTAACTCATTATTATAAATTATTGATCATGCTCACCAAATTTTATAAAAAAAGAAGGGTTTGAACTGGTCGTGTTTTAGGCCATTTGCAAACATTGTCGTTTCAGGCATGGAAGACAATCTCATGAAAAAAATTACGTTTCCGAGATTTGAGGGTCCCAAGTTTATCTTCTGCATTATTTGAAGCATGCACTCACATGCACAGATGCACTTACTCTGTGAGGTCTCATTTCCTGTCAAGGCAGCTGTCTGCCAACAGCAGGGCAAGGGCAAGGGCCATTGAAAGGGACCTGGCTGAGCCTCTGAGCTAGTGGTAGGCCTCCACAAGGCACTGACTCTGAGCTCAGAGAAGAAAGGCAGAGTAGCTCTTGCCAGAAGACTCCCCGCACTATTGTAAGGATGCTAGGAACAGGAGAGACTGATGACAAAAGCAGCCAAAGAATCTCTCACAGCCAAGTCCTCATGCTCAAAAGTACTTCGAGATTATTACCAAAAAAAAAAAAAAAAAATTTGTGTGAGTAAGGGGGAAAGCAACCTACTGTGGATGGAGCATGAAGGTCATGAAGACTTCCAGCCTGCCTTCTCAGCATGGATGTTTCATGTTTAGATTTATTAAGAAAAGAAAGAAAAGAAAATTCCTAAATCCAGAACTTAGGATTTTAAAACTGTGATCATCTTTCCAAGTGATTTTTATTTTGTTTTTAGTATCTTGTTTTTAGTAACATTAACAATTCAAGTAACTACTGCCCATAAGGGAGTCCATTTGTCAGTCTTTATTCAGATTTTGTCTCAGAATGAACTAGACAAGGAAGCCTATTTCATCCCTTAAACTCAGGAGGTTATGAAAGACATATGCATACATTTCAGCAACATCCAGCAATAAACTAAGACTGTATCAAAAGGGGAAGAAGCGGGGGAGGGCAAAAGAATTAAGCCCCAAATGATGCTCAAAGTACCTGAGCTTTGATTCTGAGGCCAGTTGAAATTGGATCTGTGGGCAGCAGTTTAGACACATTTAGAAAAGCACACATCTGTAAGCACATGGAGGCACTGTGTTCTGGTATGTTTCCTGATATGACTAAGCGATGCATTCCTTAAGCCCAGGGACCATGTCTTATTCATCTTGTGCCTCACGAAGAGTAGGTGCTCATTAAATGTTCAGTGACTTAATGAATATAAATACAGTAACAGTTTAGGCAGTGAGCAACTGGAATTCCAGATTATTATTCATTAAAACCATTTGGCAAAAGTGGCCATGCCTGTTGCAAAAGACCTGAAACACATGGAAAGAGTTAATCACGCTGCCCACACCCTCTAATGTGACGAGATATCGGGGACTGGTGAAAGAAGTTTCTGTCAGTCTCAAAATTCTCCACTCAGTGAGCTAGCTGAATATTCACACCAAACCTCTCTTGATACATAGCCAGATTCTGATTCTTGGGATGATCACACAATTAAATTCATATGAGCTTTTGCCTGTTCCCTTGCCCCAACAGATTTTTGTAATTAGCATGGCTTCTCTGAGTCAGTCCTTAGTTACTGAGGAATGTATCACATCTTCAGCTTTCTGAAGCCCAGTGGTTTACAAACTAGTGTACCTCAGTGTCACCTTGTGAAAACAGATTGCTGGGCCCCACCCTCAGAGTTTCTGATTCCCTGAGTCTAGAGTGAGGACTAGTAATGTGCATTCTGACAAGTTCCTGGGTGAGGCTCATGCTGCTGGTTACAGAGCCCGTGCTCCAGTCTAGAAGGCTAGAGAGTTGGTCTTTCCTTAAAAGACAGATATTAAAAGTAGAACTGATACTACACCACGTGGGACATCTGGGTGGCTCAGTGAGTTAAACGTCTGCCTTCAGCTCAGGTCATGATCCCAGGGTCTTGGGATGGAATCCCACGTCAGGCTCTCTGCTCAGAGGGGAGCCTGCTTCTCCCTCTCCCCACTGCTCATGCTCTCTCTCAAATAAATAAAATCTTCCAAGAAAGAGAGAGAGAGAATACATCATGTACTAACTAAAACGGGCCTTCTATTTTTAAAAAGCTTTGCCAAATTTTTTAGTTGTTGTTGAGCAAACGAAACAAAGAATGTTATGGAAGGCACACTGAATAGTGACTGGACCAATAGCTGAAGTGTCTGATATTGCTAATCCGGTGGCAAAGACACCTTACTGTAAAAAACAAAGTTACCGATATCTTAGGCCACCAATAAAGCAAGTCCAGGCTAAAAGCTAAGACTTCTCTCCAGGTGTAATTAGAAGGAAGTCTTCTGAAAGTCTTGCTCCCATGCCTTTCCATAGGCTCACCTCAGCAAACTGTCATGTGTAACCTACATTTTTAACCCAGGAACTGATTTACATTTTTCCCTATAAAGTAGTGCAACTGAGTTTCCATGAAAATCCAGGAATTTCAAAACAGGCATCCTACCAGTATTTCCATGCAACATAAAGAAAAACTCTTAAAAAATTAAAATGTGACATGTGCTATGTGGATAGTTACAAATGTGCTCATGATTGATAAGCAAACATAGAGAATAAAATAAAAATAAAAACTTGATGATAAAAAGTTCAGAGGTTAAAACTTCATTACAATTTCATGTAGGACTGAATGTTTCTTGTTGCTTTAACTTTTACCTTACCTTAAGCCCTTACTTACCTTAAAATATAATGTAAAAATTTCAACTATGTATATACAACTATTTTAGGGTTCCTTTCCCCATCTCGTGATGAAAAATTGCAGAAAATGCAAAAATATACAAAACCATGACTGGCTGTGTACTGCATGAAAAATGGAACATAATCGGACATTTCCTCAACTAAAACGGTGCAAAAATGGTATTACTTTCAAACTAGCAAATTAAAATAATTTCTGGAATAACAACATGGCCCGCTTGTGCAGGTGTGATAGATATCAGCTGCTCAAATACTAAAAGAAACAATAGTCTGACCTCATCGAAAAACTGCTGAGTTTTGCGAAGTATAAATTTTAGTTCAGTCAGTTCCAGGAAATTTCTCTTCAGAGCTTCCTGGTTTGTGTTGATTTCCTTCAGTTCATTTTCAATCTTCTCAAAATTGGCCTACAGGAAAAAAAAATCAAACTATTAACTTAAACTAACCTCAATATGCTTGTTCTGAAAGACAGATGAATTCATCTATCCCACAGAATTCTTGCAACCTTATGGTTCAAACATATTTTATATCTACCCAGCAAATATGTGATTTTACCATGGCAATTTTCTTTATGAAAATTTTTTGCTTAGCATCATCTGTCTTTATCTATCGGTTCTATTATACACTTGGTTGAATTTCTCAGGGGACTTTGGATGGATAAAATATATATTGAAAAGTCTACTGCTTATTCATTTAGTCTATGAGATTAATAAATTGCTAGATAAGTTGACATTAATCCAATAAGGTTTCAATAAGGCAATAAGCATTTATTTGGTGGCATGTGATATCGTTCAAGATAGTGCTCTATAATAAGTCTCCACAAGAAACTCATAAGCAAGAGACAATGCGGACAACGGCAGCAAGAATTCCTCTACTCTCCATCCACACAGGAAAGTAATTTCTGCATTTAAGTAGAAAGAAATGTATCTGGCTTCCTTAGAAGAACTGTTTACCTCTAAGTCAATCATGTCCCGGGGGAAGGGCACCTCTGGGTTTTCACCAGTGTCCATAATGGGGATATTAGCTTTTCTTATCTCTTTCTCAACAAATCCTAAAATGACAGAATCAAAACATTCATGTATAGCATAGGCCTGGAATTGCCAATATTTAAGGAAAAAAAGTAAGAGCGAAAACCTGGCTAAAAAGAGCTTTGTTCTATAAAGATACTTTCATATAAAACAAGCACAACAGGGCACCTGGGTGGCTCAGTTGTTAAGCGTCTGCCTTGGGCTCGGGTCATGATCCCGGGGTCCTGGGATCGAGTCCCACATCGGGCTCCCTGCTCAGCGGGAAGCCTGCTCTCCCTCTCCCACTCCCCCTGCTTGCGTTCCTGCTCTCGCTGTCTCTGTCTCTGTCAAATAAATAAATAAAATCTTAAAAAAAAAAAAAAAAGCACAACATGTAAATCCTTTTTCCTCCACATTCCTCTTCTTTCACTGCACACTCTCTAAATCACAGCTACCCCAAAGAGGACTGTCATCCCACAACCATCTTCTTTCCCTCTTCTGATCTTAAAAGCTCATCTGCTTCAGTTCTCCACCCTGTGCGACTACTACTCCAGAGTACGATGGTTGTTTGTAGACACTGTTTGCCGAGTTCCAGAAGAGCGCAATTCCATAGAATATTTGACATTTAGCATACTAGTGAAACAACTCCAGATCAAAAGGGTTTCATAAAATTTGAAAACAATCAGATCAGTTTTAACAAAACAAAAAACAAAAAGCATGACACGGTGTAAGGCCCCAAAATACCAGAAGAGAAAAGTGATAACTAGTGACTTTTTGAGGGCAGAGACCAAATTCACCCATCAGCTAACTGAAAGCTGACATAGTATAGTAGCAAGATCATTGGTTTGGAAGCCAGAGAGAACAACCGAGATTCAAATACTGATTCCAGCATAACTGCTTATATTCTTGGGCAAGTCACTTAACCTCTCTGATCTTTGGTTCCTCCCTCCCTTCCTCCTTTCCTTCCTCCCTCCCTTTCTTCCTTCCTTCCTCTCTCTCTCTTTCTTTATTTTTAAATAATCTCTACACCCAACGTGGGGCTCGAACTCATGACCCTGAGATCAGAAGTCAGATGCTCTACCAATTGTGCCAGCCAGGCACCCCAGCTTCCTCATTTATTAAATGAGGTAACACCCACCTGAAGGAATATTGTGAGGAATGACTGAAATAAAGTATATGAACACCCCAAATCTCAATAGGACCCTAACAAATGTGTTAGTTTCTTCCCTCATAGAAAGGTCAAATTAAAAGGTGGTTATGTTGACATCTAAAATAGAGAGTGGGGCACCTGAATGGCTCAGTTGGTGGAGCGTGCAACTCTTGATTTCAGAGTTGTGGGTTCGAGCCCCATGTTGGATATAGAAATTGCTTAAAAATAAAATCTTCAGGGGTGCCTGGGTGGCTCAGTCGTTAAGTGTCTGTCTTCTGCTCCGGTCATGATCCCAGGGTCCTGGGATCGAGTCCCACATCAGGCTTCCTGCTCTGCACGAAGCCTGCTTCTCCCTCTTCCACTCTCCCTGCTTGTGTCCCTGCTCTTGTGCTCTCTAGTAAATATTTTTAAAAAATAAATAAAATAAAATCTTTAAAATAAATAATTATTGGGGTATCTGGGTGGCTTAGATGGTTAAGCGTCTGCCTTCGGCTCAGGTCATGACCTCCAGGTCTTGGGATCAAGCACCAAGTTGGGCTCCCAGCTCAGCAGGAGTCTGCTTCTCTCTCTCCCTCTGCCTTTCCCCCTGCTTGTGCTCCCTCTGTCTCTCTCTCTCTTAAATGAATAAATAAAATCTTTAAAATAAATAAATTAAATACAATAAAAATTATTTAATAAAATAAAATAAGATGGTGGTCTGCATCCTCTCAGAATTCTATAATGCAATACTGCTATAAAACCTTTCCCACAAAAAAATAACCAATATGTTCAGTTGGCAGCCTTGTCATCTCAAACGAGGTTTCCATTAAGCACCACCTAGCCCCAATACCACAAAATCTACTTGTACACAAGAAATTCATCTTAATATCAGGATTGTAAGACTATTCTTCCTTTCTTTTTCTCCTGCAGTATTTTCTTCTTTTGTTAAGAGGACTAGTGTCTCTTAATTTAAGACAAATGACTCATTATAAGAACATGATACGGAACTAAAATGCACATACGAAGCTTTCGATCCATTTCTTCACATCTTCTAACTTCATTCACAAATTTCCGCTGGAAAACATTCACATCTGGATTTAACTGCAAAATAAGAAGACAATGCCACATATTTAAATATTGCATCTACTTTCTGTTTCACAAGCAACACCCTGCAAAGTGAAAATCTAGTATTTTGTTTCAGTGTACGATGCAACACTAACAAAAATGGCCTACTAATCTACATAACCTGCTTTGGGGCCAATCACACCAACTGAAGGTAAAAACCCCTCCCTCACTGTAGCACCATATTACTGGAATGGAGGCAAATTAGATAAAATAGTATGGTACAAAATGGTCTTCCCAGGCCAAAGTCAGTGAGCTCCCCTGACCAAAAATTTGAGCAACAGATGTAACAGAAGCTCTGCCAGGTTTTCCTTCTCTTCCTCCCCATCAGAAGACACAGAAAGCAAACTTCTCTTATGCTTCTGTCCCAGGTCTTCACTTTCTAGGGGACAGGCTGGTTTATTCATTCATACATCACAAGTAATTTTCAAAGCAATGTGACAGATACTCTGGGCAATACAAACAAAAATAAAACAAGTTCCTACTTGCTAAGAAGCCTGCAATCTAATAAAGAAAAAGGATGAACACAACCAATAAGATACCATGTGATAAATTCCAGAAAAGTAATACAGATAAGGGGCGCCTGGGTGGCTCAGTCGATTAAGTGTCTGACTCTTGGGTTTCAGCTCAGGTCGTGATCAGGTCGGCCTCTGCACCTAAGTGTGGAATCTGCTTAAGATTCTCTCACCCTGGGCCGCCTGGTGGCTTGGTTAAGCATCTGCCTTTCGGTCAGGTCATGATCTCAGGGTCCTGGGATTGAGCCCCGCGTCAAGCTCCCTGCTCAGTGGGGAGTCTGCTTCTCCCCCTCCCTCTGTACCCCCCACCACTTGCGCTTCTCTCCCTCAAATAAATAAAACCTTTAAATAAAAAAATAAAAAGAGTGGGGTGCCTGGGTGACTCAGTCGTTAAGCATCTGCCTTCGGCTCTGGTTGTGATCCCGGGGTCCTGGGATCGAGCCCCATGTCAGGCTCTCTGCTCGGCGGGAAGCCTGCTTCTCCCTCTCCCACTCCCCCTAATTGTGTTCCCTCTCTCGCTGTCTCTCTGTCAAAAAATAAATAAAATCTTAAAAAAAATAGTAAAAAAAAAAGATTCTCTCACCCCTTTCCCTTTGCCCCCCTTGCACGTGTGCACACACTCTCTCTCTAAAACAAATAAATAAAATTAAATTTAAAAATGTGCTTAAAAATAATACAAAAAAAATTTAGGGGCGCCTGGGTGCCTCGGTCGTTAAGTGCCTGCCTTCGGCTCAGGTCATGATCCCAGGGTCCTGGGATCAAGCCCCGCATCGGGCTCCCTGCTCCGCAGGAAGCCTGCTTCTCCCTCTCCCACTCCTCCTGCTTGTGTTCCCTCTCCTGCTGTGTGCTCTCTCTGTCAAATAAATAAATAAAATCTTAAAAAAAAATTTTTTTTAAAGTAATACAAATAAAGAACTATAACTACCCACTCAACATTTTTGAAGCACCAACTATATGCAGGGCACCATGGCACTGGTATAAATACAAAAGGATATGTCCGAGCTTTGAGGAGCTATCAGACCCGTAGATGAGACAGACACAAACTAATAAATACAATTTGTTGTGATAAATGTTTTTTTTTTTAAAGTAAATATTGTTGTCAGTTTTTTATACAATTAAACATATACCTACCTACTTTATGACTAAGCATTCCACTACTAGGTATTTGCTTAAGAGAAATGAAAACATGTCTACAGAGACTCGTACAAGAATGTTTACAGCAGCTTTATTCACAATAGCCCCAAACTGGCAATGTTCCAAATATCCAACAACAGGAGAACGGATAAAGACATTGTGGTGTATTCATGCAATGGAATACTGCTCTGCAATAAAAAGAGAATCAACTATAGATACACATAAAAACAGACACATCTCAACACGTTTGAGTTAAAGAAGTCAGACATAAGGCTTTGCAGTGTATGATTCTCTTTACATTAAGTTCAAGAACACGCAAAACTAATCTATGATAGGTAGAAATCAAAACAGTGGAGAATGACCAGAAGTAGGCACAAGATACCCTTCTGGGCTGACGGAAATATTCTGTATCTTGACTGGGGTGGTGTTTGCAAAGATATAAAAATTTACCAAATCATCAAATTGTACTCTTAAGGTCTACGCATTTCAGTGAATATAAATTTTACATCCATAAAAAACATGGGGGGGGGGAAGGAAGGAAAGAAAAGAAAAGGGAAAAAGAATGAAACAACGAAAGGAAGAAATGAACATATGCCAGAATAAGTATGAGAAAAAAATGGGTAACTGAGTTGAAAAAATGTACAAAGGAAACACCTGAGCTGGGACTCTGGGGGGTAAGGCAGAGTTCACCAATCAGAAATAGGCAGAATGAAGCAGAAAGACAATGACAAGTGACTCAGAGACATAAATAAATCATATATTCAGAGAAGGGGAAAAATTGTTCTGTAGGCAGAATGGAATCAAATAATCTGATTTTCTAAAAAACACTTCTTAAAGATTTACTTTTTTTTTTTTAAAGTTTGCAGTTTCTTTTTTAAACTTTTTTTTTTTAAGACTTTACTTATTTATTTGAGAGAGAGAGAATGAGAGATAGAGAGCATGAGAGGGAAGAGGGTCAGAGGGAGAAGCAGACTCCCCGCTGAGCAGGGAGCCCGATGTGGGACTCGATCCCAGGACTCCAGGATCATGACCTGAGCCGAAGGCAGTCGCTCAACCAACTGAGCCACCCAGGCGCCCAAGATTTACTTTTTTTAAGATTTTATTTATTTATTTTGACAGAGAGAGAGAGACAGCAAGAGAGGGAACACAAGCAAGGGGGTGGGAAAGGGAGAAGCAGGCTTCCCGCCGAGCAGGGAGCCCGATGTGGGGCTCAATCCCAGGACCCCGGGATCATAACCTGAGCCGAAGGCAGTGCTTAATGACTGAGCCATGCAGGCGCCCCTAAAGATTTACGTTTTTGAATAATACTGTGTATGAAGAATAAATTGTTAAGAGGGATAGATTGATAATGGAGAAACTAGTAAGGACATTATTGGTATCATTATATTAATATTAGAGAGAATCTAAGACAAAAAGCATTATTAGAGATTATGAGAATCACTACAAACAATTTCCAGGAAGATGCAACAATCTTAAACTTGGATGTCTATAATAAAACGTTTGTTTTTTTCACCGAGCAGGCAGTATCTTGGCCTTCCATTCAGAAATTTCCACTTCAATAAACATGAAACTGAAGCAAAAGTAACCACAAGACTACTCTACTGGTTTCACTATCTATAGGCAAAGTTCAACTGCAGCCAGTGTCAGGTAAGGCATCTCAAAATATTTGGGCAAGGCATCCTCAAAATATTTCCTACAGAAATTAACAGAACCACAAGGAGACACTGACAAATCTATGTAGTGGAAAATTTTAAATACAATTTTAAATTATTGATACTTCGAGTCTACCAAATATTAGTAAGGACAGAGAAAATGTGAACCTAATTAATAAGCTTAATCTAAAATATATATACATACACACAATTTTTTTATCCCAGCATCTAACAGTTCTCTCTTTAAGAATTCATTATGAAAACTGACCACAAAATAGGTCATATAGCAAATCTCAGTAAAGATCTTTACTATACAGATAATGTTCTATGATAATGCAATTAAGTTAGAAATCAATATCAAGGGGCACCTGGGTGGCTCAGTCGGGTAAGCATCCAACTCTTGGTTTCAGCTCAGTTCATGATCTCAAGGTTGTGAGATAGAGCCCTATCTGTCTCCTTGCTCAGTGGGGAGTCTGCTTGAAGATTCTCTCCCTCTGCCCCTTCCCCCACTAGCGCACACATGCTCTCTCACTTTCTCTCAAATAAATAAATAAATAAATCTTAAAAAAAAAATCAGTATCAAAAATACAACCTAGGGTGGCCTGGGTTGCACAGTTGGTTGAGTGGCCAACTCTTGGTTTTAGCTCAGGTCATGATCTCAAGGATCATGAGATCAAGCCCCACACAGGGCTCTGCACTGCTTAAGACTCTCTCTGTCCCAGGGCACTGGGATGGCTCAGTCGGTGCAGTGTCCGACTCTTGATTTCAGCTCAGGTCGTAGTCTCGGGGTCATGCAATCGAACCCCACGTTGGGCTCCACGCTCAGCATGGAGTCTGCTTGGGATTCTCCTTCTCCCTCTGCCCCTCGCCCCGCACATACTCTCTCACTCTCTCTCTCTCTAAATTAAATAAATAAAATCTTTTTTGCATACTCACTCTCTCTCTAAAATAAATAAATAAAATCTTTTTCAAAAAAGACTTTCTCCCTCTCCCTCTGGCCCTACCCCCTGGCTCTGTGCATGCACTCTCTCACTAGATTAATTAAAAAACAAACAAACAAACAAACCACAACCTAAACAGTATATTTGGAAATTCTAAAATAGTCCTAAATAATTCATGACTCAAAGAAGAAATCATAATAAAATTCTTAAGGGCACCTGGGTGGCTCAGTTGTTAGGTGTCCTACTCTTGGTTTCAGCTCAGTTCATGATCTTGAGGTTGTGAGATTGAGCCCCACATGTGCACTCAACGTGCAGTCCGCTTCAGATTCCTTCTCCCTCTCCCCCCTACTCTGCTCCTCTCCCTGGTCACGCTCTCTCTCTAAAATAAATAAATCTTTAAACTTAAAGGAGAGAATTATTTAAAAAAAAAGATTCTTAAAATATCTGGAATGGAATGATAATGAAATTGTAAAGATCAGGGGCGTCTGGCTACCTCAGTTGGTGGAACATGTGACTTGATCTTGAGGTTGTGAGTACAAGCCCCACATTTGGCATGGAGCCTACTTAAAATTTTTTTAAATGTAAAGACCAAACTTTGTGGGATGCAGCTAAAGTACTATTTAAAAGGAAATTCAGGAGTGCCTAGGTGGCGTAGTCGGTTAAGCATTCAACTCTTGGTTTCAGCTCAGGTTGTGACCTCAGGGTCTTGAGACTGAGTTCTGCGTTGGGCTCCATGC